TCTTCCAACCCAAAGGCTGCTCCAGCATTGGCATTGGCCATGGCCATGGTGGATGAATTGTTTGGTCAACTAAGCAATTGTTGGTTGAGCTGGAATTTTGGCAGAGTTCCTTTATAGAGTTGAAGGATTCAAAATAATGAGGAAAACTGAGGAACTGACTAGCTAGCGGTAGCTAGCGGTGGATCGATCCGATCATCCGATCGCACGAGTTGCACGTTGGTTGCCTCTTTGCTTGAGTATACACGAACGATTGAATCATTGGTAGGGTGGCTTGAGTACTAGCTAGTATGCTCGAACGTACAGTAGTGATCTTTCGCAACGGTTGGATCGGAACGATCCATCGGATCTCATGGGAATGGCACGGTATGTGTTGAGATACTTAGGGCGAAATTGGAATCCTCTCAGTATGTGCATTGGTCTTATGTATGCATGCGCCCCTGTTAAATCTTCCCTGTTGCAGTTTATTTAATAATGAGAGTCTTATTGAGAGGATCTTTGTTTCAATGACTGCCAATACCATACCTTTTCTACGTAGCATACTGTCCTGGATCCTGAGGGTATGTAAGATCCACTAAGTAGTAGTGTGAAGCACATACTGACACTGTGCAACTACTGTTGCAGAAATGTAGTACTGTACAGGTATCCACAGTTGAGGGGGATGGGCAAAATTTGCAATAGTCCTGTATTGTATTGGAGTGTGACTCGCCAAAATCAGTAAAAAAGACAAAATTCGTATTTTTGCCGGAAGATAAATTTAATTTAATTGGATTGGATTGGATTGGATTGCATTGAATTGGATTGAATTGGATTCCAAATAGTACCGTTATTTTTATAGTAAACTGTAATTCAATGCAATCCAATCTAATCCAATAGAGATTTTTTAGCCAAAGTAAAAGATTGGCTTAGCACACACAATTTTTACAAAAACGCTCTAACAAATAAATTCAACACAGAGCCATGGGCAAGTTTGCTCATCCCCGAGTGTCTATCAGGGTATTCGGTTCCACACTCCCACTTAGGAAGTGACATCATCGAGTACTACTTTACCGGTATAGTACAGTACCGGTTACAGTACTGGAATATCCGGAGACACGATCAGCTCAGTATCATACTACCTAGCTAGACTAGTACCGGTACCGGTAGATTTAGATGTGTGCAGTGGTGTACAAGTCAGCTCAGATGAGAAAGCAAAGAGCCTAGCTAGTAAATCTAAGGCGGGAGGGTGGTGGACATGGTGGATTTGGATTCTTGGTTGAAACCTGATGTCCCCAGAGATGCAAACCCTACCGGTAGGCAATACGGTGAAGGAACATGAACAGAAGAGCTTGGTGATGCCCCAACAAGGCACTTACCAACAAAAACTGAGGATACAAGTTGCACCAAACTAGCTAGAACATTGGGTGCAAAGCTATCAGGGTGGCAATTCACCACAACCACCAGGGAAATGTCTCAACCAAACAGGAGTGCACCCCTCCCTGAGGCGTGGGGGTTAGCGGGCTAGGCTAAAACGCAAATATCTCTTGTCTGTCTTTGCGGATGGCCTCGAGGATACTTGGCCCATACTCCTTCGCCTTTTGGGGTCCAATGCCATGAATTGCTTTAAGCTCCATATCTGTCATGGGGAGCCTGATAACGAGATCATCCAATGTCTTGTTATTGAAAATGAAGTAAACAGGGACTTTCTTGGTGGCGGCAAAATGCTTTCGCAGCTCCCGTAAAGCTTGTCGCAAACCAAGACGCGCTTCCAGCATGGGATCTCGAGGCTCTTGGAAATAGGGTGATCGTTTCTGTGGCCCTTTTTTGACGGGCGAAGCGGGAGTGCCAAAAACAACTGAAGGTGTCTCCGCCATGGTGTCTGGCTACGCAGTGTCTAGTTTATCTAGCTAGCTAGATTGATTGATGTATTCAGTGAGCTGAACCAACACTTTGGCGAAAGGGAGGATATTTCACCGCCCGGGTGCCCTCTCTGGCTCTCGTCTGAAAAAGGAGAAAGCCAACGGATGCTTCCCACGTGAAATTTCTTTGGTTTCATGCATATAAGACATATGCATACCCGTACGCACGCTGTATTACGAGAGAAGAAGTGCGGGGCCAGTAGAAGGAGTTGCATCCATACCGTAGCTGGGGGGTGAAAGCCATCAGAGTCAAGCTAGCTCTGCCAGAGCAACCGACGACTCATGAGACACGTTCCGCGGAAGTCTCTAGCAGTGCAATTCACCACCACAACAAACAAAGAGCTTTCTGCTGCCCGCAAACACCGTCCAGCCTCAATCCGAAAGGCAACGTCTCTGCTGCGGGCCCGGGTCGCTCATCAAGTCCACTTTGGGTCATTGGCTATGGCGAGCTTGGTTGACCGTCGTGTTCTCCGTCATCGACACCTATCTCTCGTTCCTCGTGGAGTTGTCTGCGAACGTATCCAGGAAGGTCACTCGCATCGTTGAAAGTCGGAACGGCGTCCGAGTCGTAAAGGATGCTGGCACGGTAACAAGTTTCCCGGAGAATTTTGTCGCTGTCTTCACAGAGAACTTCAGCCTTGACCTCCGCTCGGCATTCCTGGCCTGCCATCTGCTCCTCTACCGTGAGACCTCGACAAACAGCTTCGAAAAAGACAACCGAATCTGTGTTGGTGCGGTTGTACATGGAAGGGATCGACCATTCGGCCGAAGGATCACCTGCAAAGTGGTGCAAGCGCAAGAAATGGTCTTGCCCATATGGTTTGACATACACGGCAATTTCTTCGCAGTTGGCGTAACCGAAGTCCTTTTGCATCGCATCGTCGATTAATCCGTCAATTTCAGATGGCTCTTGCGTAGGCAACGACAAGTATTCTCCGGATTCCCCAGCATCGACAGATTCCCCAGTATCGACAAAAGCCTCTTCCTCTGAAGAATCATCCCATGCCATCATCGCGCCCCACATCATCCCACCCATGCCTTTCTTAAGTGCTCGTCGGGTTTGGGTGTTGTCCTGAAACCGACTAGTGACGTCTCGGGCTCCACGAGGTCCTTTCGCCCTAGTCGTGATCACGCCAATCTGCTCCGACAGAAGTCTAGCGAGCCCGTCTTGGGCGTTGCCTCGTCTGAGGCCAATACCAGGACGTGCATCCGTCACGAAAACTTCCTGCTCTGTGGAAACTTGGTTTCCGCTAGAATCTTTGGCTGTGAGGACCACTGATTGGGTGCCTTCGTCGCCGCACCCAAAGTTTGGAGGTTGGCTTATTCGCATGACGACGAGACCGCAGTTGTCCCAGGTACCATTGTCAATATCGTCCGTGGTCACAGCTTCATCCATCCATCCAAACGCATTGAGAGCAACCACGTGAGTCTTCGTGATCACGTTGGGCGGCACGTCATCCACGACGTTTACCAAGGCGGTTTTGGTCACCGAGATCCCTATTCTGTTGACGGCGGTAATGGACACTTCATGGACGCCTATGTCTTCGCATCCCAGTGGATCAAGTGGAGAAGAAAAGGAGACAGCGGGAACTTCCGGAATATCACACATCCCACACAGCGACGAAGGTTCTTCACCATCCAAGAAGAAATCGCTTGGAGAGAGAGAAACAAACGCATTCCTTTCGTTTGGAAGCGAGACATTCCTAATCTGAAGATTCAGAATTGGTGTATCTGGTTCTCCAGTTTCCTCTATTTCAAGTCCGCCAAGTGTGATCTTTTGGTAGGCCACGGTGTCTTGCATCTGGCAGGTTGGATCTGTCAAGAGCCATTTCCTGTGTATCATTTTGTAGTTTTCGGAGCAAGGAATCCCAGCTTTGATTTCTTTGTCAAAGCTTGATAGCTCAGCGAAGGGGCTTCTGCAGTTGTCATTCCTCAGTTTCGGAGCGAAGCTTGACACATTGTAGAAGTCCTTGAGAATGAAGTTGTCGTCCAGATCATCTGCTCCGAATGGATCGCTGTCGCACACTGTCTGGATGTGTTCCTCCGGTGGCTTTTCAAGTTCTGAAAAGCCATACGGCAAAATGCCATAGACAAGCATCGTCTCCGACTTTCTGCCGGATTGATCACTCGCAACAACTTCAAATGTCCACCGAATGGACTCACACTTTGGCTCGGCGATCTGGACCTGGATATCAAGATGAAATTCATGAAGAGTTCCGGTCATTGCACGAAGAAACCGTCTACGATGCACGCGATCCGGATTCATGAATGAACGAACCGGCAGGTTTTGTATTTGATACCGTGGTCTGTAGTAGTACTGTACAGAGTTCTACACAGACCGGCGGTTACAAATACAAACCAGCCGTTATTCGTTCCTAACAAAACGAACCGGTACTTAGGGCCGGCTGTGCCCCATCGGTCTCCGGCCTGACCATCGGGCTGTCGGGCTTGCGCCCTCTCTTAAGCCCTCGGTCAGACCTCCGACCTTGGGTCCCTGCCTTATCCCTAAGTAACCAGGTTCGTTTTTTATAAGAGCCAACCCCATCTTCGCCTATCAAGTCTCTTGCTCGAGCGAAGACATCCGCATCCGTCTCTTCGCCAACAAAGTCTCCGTATTCTATATCAACCTTGATGCCATCTTCTTCCAAAATCCTATGGCGCAGAATTCCCACAAGCACAAGCTCGATGACAGTCAGCTCTGCGTGGCCCTCGAGGCGCCTCCTTCGGGTTCTTCTCATAGATTCGGGTTCCGACCCCTCAAGTTTTGCTCTCCAGGCTTCAGCAAGCGGCCCCTCACAACCAAACACCACGGGGTCTTGCGAAGAGGAACCAGGAGACCCCCAAGCCAGCGATATCTTCGGTGGTGACAAAGTAGGCTGTTTTTCGGCCCAGACAGGGTCGTCCATTTGCAACGCTCCTAGGTACTGGTTGACAGCACCAAGGCGGGCTTCGTGCACCATAATCGAATCATCGCCAGGAGGAAATTCCGGCTTTCCCGGTTCTCGCTTGAACTGGCTGAAATCAACTTTCCTCACAAAGTCAGACTGAATTTCGTCCACATCAATGCTGTCTGGCCTGAGTTGGGCTCCCATATAGCGGCCCTGGAAATCTGTTGGCCCAAAAGTTCCTTCGTTTACGGCGCGGAAAGCTGGCACGGAAAAAGATCGCACTTGTGTTACCGGCTTCATTTGCGAGAGCTTGCGTCGTCTCGTAGCAGACGGTGAGAAGTTTTGCAGTCCAGCGAATGATTTCTGCATATTCCTGGGAAGCAATCGCAAGGAAATCAGAGCGTGAACACGACACTACAGAGCGAATGCATGAGCCTCCCCTACCTGTCCACAAGATCAGAAGTCTGAACCATGTTGCCGTGGAACTCTTCAGCTTCCGCAAGCTTGGCTGCTCGCTCCAAGCGACATGCCTGATCGAAAACCCTAGACTCAAATCTGGGGAATCCTCCTTTTCTTTCGACCTCGACATCTCTCCAACTTTCGCATCGATTCGGGCCACAAATCCAAAAGCCACATGTTTTCTTGCACTTTCGTCTCTGGGCAACCTTCACAGGGCACTCGAGCTCGTCCTTGCACCAACTTTTAGCAAGAAGTGGCACTACGTGAGGATGGCGGCAAGCATCTGCACACCTACAGGACAGGACAAGGCAGTACGTACCAGTTCCTCTTGATGTTCACTGAGCGGCCACTTTCTACTGCCCTGTCACAAGCCGCTTTGCATGAGTGAATATTCTCAAAAGATGATTTGGTTCTGAACTCCACCCTACCCGGAAAAGCAGAAAGGGCAATGGGCATTAGCGACTTCCCAAGCACATCACAGGCCCCCGAATTATGTTTGCCTACCAATCTTGACGGCCAAATCCTTTGCGAAAGAAGTCTCCGAGGTCTTTGAAGAAAGACCCAATCGCATTGATGATGTCCGTAATTCCGGCTACAATGAAATCGATTACAATCTTAGCACCCTCGAGAACTAGGAGACCAAGGAGAACCAACACGTGAGAGGCGTTATGGCGTGGTGATGCGAGTGACACGCAGTTTCCTGGACTCACCAGCTTTACCAACATTTTTAAGATCATCCAGGGTGATCTTCCCATCTGTCAGGCCTGCGATTGCCTTATGCGCGTCAGCACCAAAGGCGTCCAGTCGTTCCGAACTGAGCAGTTGGGCCACTTCACCATTTTCAAAGACATCCCGTATGTTGTTCACTACGTTTGTTCCGAATTCAACGATTGAGCCCATCAATTGTTTCCCCTGAACGGCCGGTGAAGGTGCTTGAGCACACATGGAGACACTGAAAACACACAATAATAAGCTTGCATCTTTCTTACCCATTCTCCAACGGCCGCCACTGCACTGTTGAAGAATTCAACGACATCTTCGGCAAAGAAAGTGGCTATGGCTTGCATGCCTTCCCAAATCGCCTCTCCGACATCCTGTTCCGAATCGAAGCCAAACATCACGCGTTGGTGGTCGCCACAAATCACACTCGAAACATCCTTTTACACTCACCTCAAAGAACTCCACGATGGCATCGCAAAGGGAATCTGGCGCGCAGGCCATGGACACGTCTACACTCCAATCCGCTTTCTCCAAACCATCAGACGCCAGGGCTCGGCGGTAGTCTTCGCCTTCGAGGTGCAGGTGACGCCTTCTGTCAAAGTCTATTTCAGTGGAGACAGCCACGGACCATCTGAATCCTACCGTGTCAAACTCAAATTGGCCTGCAACACCGTATTGATTCGGACTTACTCCGTCCGCAAAGTTCTCGACAATCAGCCTGACGATTGATTTTTTGTGCAGCAAATACACTTGAGATGCACGTTCTTACACCGCCCAACGACAGTCGGCGATGCACTTACCCAACTGAAATACTTAAAAAGAACAAGACTGAAATCTTGCAGAAAACACGGAGGAACATGGCCAAGTTTTCCGAGTTGTTTGAGGCCGTGATGTCGTCGAATTGCTGAACCTCGAGCAGCTTTCCGTCAGTTACGACGTCGTCCTGCCCATGGTCGATATAGTCAAGATATGCTTGCAAGGAAGGAAAATTGAAGAGGCTAGGCGGACTAAAGATTTCCTTCATGTCCTCGGGGAGTGCATCATACGCCAGTTGGGCGACACGAAAGTCATCTGCAACGTCCTCAAACCTTGTCGGTGGCGGACCATCAGACAGGACGAGAGAGATCGAAACCTCCTTCACAAGTATGACCAAGTTTCCAAAATCTTTCAAGGCGAAGTATAGGATGAAAACGTCCGCATCCGCGTTGCTGCTGAAGTCGTATTTTGCTGGGGTTTGGTAGGCGGCATCTGGGGGCAGGGAGGTTTTTTGTGAGGCAGAAGCAAGTCTGAATCACTACATGTAGCCTGTGAAGGTGCGGACAATCTCACCTTCATCCGGTGTTATTTTGTACTTTTCTTCGGGGTCCGTTGGCTCTGCTGTGAGGACGCGATTGTAGCAAAGCAGCTTGTCAGGATGCTGCTCTGGATTGATGAGGATATCAGAACAAATCTCCCATTCAGTACCAGCGTCTCCATGCATAACGAACTTGCTCCAGGTCTGGCACCTCAACAGCACATTGACACAGTTCTACGAGTGGTTGATTAGACGGTCAACTCGTTTCTCGATGCAAGCAGTTGTATCTCAAACATTTACTCACTGTAACCCACGGTCGTGGTTGTTCCCCGGTTTCCGGTATGGGCCGACTCCTCAACAACGTTTGTCGTCGGCGTTCCACTTCACTGCCTTTTACGTACTGAAAGTGTATGACAGGTCGTGCGCCTCCACCCAGCGGTACACCAAACAGTGTGTTGACAGGGAACTCTAGCCTAAACACCACCGCTTCAGTCCTTCCCTCCGCATCCTGGAAAACTCCAATGCTATTTTGGCCAATCGACCATACCGTAAGAATTGAACAACCAAACCGCCTTTCATTCCCTTGCTTCCCAGTACATACCTGTTCCCTGCGGACTCCAATGGGGGCAGCACGTCATTGTCTGGGATGGCTTGTTCAAGAGCTCGAGACAGGATCCCCCCAAGTCCTCCTTCGATCTGAAACTGGGAGAACCAGGAATAGGATATGTGAGTGGCAATAGATCCATCGATGACGAGGAAATCATAGTGAGCGGGACACGCAATGCGCTTCACTTACCTGCTGCTGAATGTTGAAGAACCATCCACTCGGTGTACAGAACACGCCAGTTTCCTCTGCTGGGAAGTTGCAAAAGCCACCGATGGCATTGCCGAAGACCAGGTGCCCTCCGAACAAAGGAATCTTGAAAGCAGCTCTTGGCATTGTCAAGATGACGCACGGATCTTCTCTTGTCGTGCTCTCTTGCACGTTGCGCCACATCTGCCCGCTGTCCCTATCGGAAGAAAACAAGCTTCGCCGCTGGACTTCTTCCTGTTCCGGAGCGCCGATCTCTTTAGCCAGTGTGGATCCCAGCGTCTCGCCGTCTTCCGCGGTGACGGTTTGTTTGTCAATAGCAATGTACAACTCGACGTCGAAAACGATGCTCAGAGTCAGCGGTGACTCTTTTCGCTTCTCCTTCTTCTCGTCGGTCAAGAATGTGTAGAATCCCTCTCGATCCTTTTTCTCCTTGCCGATGTATTCCTTGAAGGCACCCGTCCAACCGTCTTTTTCGCACCATTTCTTGGTCGCTTTCCAGGATTTGAGCTCCACGAGACTGAACCTCAAGCGGAGCCAGAAGCTGATGTCTGGGACTTCGGGAAGAGGCTGATTGCGAAAACCGTCCCAGATCACGGGAGATCGCTCCCCACTAGTGTCTGCGTTGGTCCCAAAGGCCAGCTTGGCATTATCCGCCCAGCTCAATGCGATTCCATCGAATTGGATGGTCAACTTGGTAAGGATCTTGAACACGGGTATCTCAACGGTTGGCCAGCCTGAATGGAAGCGACAATTCTCGTCGCTGATCAACCCCGAGGCCCCGAAATCCAAATCCATCGGCGGCCATGGCGACCGAGGAGCAAACGCCAGCGAGTCCGGAGTCAAAGAATCAGGTGCAGTACGTGTGAATGCAAGGCAGAAGGGTTCAACGGCGAAGGTCCCTCCAGCCACCTCCGCCAAGCGTTTTTCCTCACAGCGAAGGGTATCTTCGTTGCAGTTCACGAGAAACCCTTCCTTTCGACAACATTCCGCAGTGAGTTGGCATTCCTCGGTGATCTGAAAGCAGTTTTCGGCGTTGGGTAGGTCTTCCACGTCGGCAACTGTCTCGGGATTTAGTAGCAACTGACAAACGTTTGGAGGGAGGTCAAATGATTTGAGATGGCAACAAACAACGGGAAACAATCAGCTCACGAATCGTACCTCCATCATTCTCAGAATAGAGTTGTTCTCTCCAAGCACCTGATCAATAGCGTCCCCTGCTCCACTTCGGATATTTCCCAGGAATCCCTGGGTTATCGGAAAGTAAGACCACAACGCATCCGATTGCATGGGTAGCTTGCTGCATGGTGAGATATTTCGGAATGATCTTCCTGGTGTTCCCTGGAAGTAGGCATTGTCATTACCAAGGAAAGGCCACGGCTTTGCGCCACCAGCCCCAGCTACGATATTGCTAATAAGGAGGACGGAGAAGAATATCATGACCGCAGTGAACCCCGCAATGCCAGCCTTGTTGTCCTCCCAGTTGCTACTCTTTTTTGCCAGCGCACGATCGCCATCATCACGACTGAGGAGCAAATGTATCAGTCGGTCCCCTCCATCGCCAAGTGCTTGAAGTGCTCTCCTCCGCGCATGAGGACCAAAGTCTTCACCCTCTCCGGCGGAACCCTCCACCAGAGTTCGATGGACTTTTTGCACAACCAGCGGCACGGAAATGGCAACGTGCGGTCCACTGCCATGCTCCTGCAGTACTCGCAGTTCTTCAAAGACACTGTTCGAAAGATCCTCCAAGGATCGGTGGTGCTTTGGCTTGGCTCCGTCGAAGAGCGACCGTGCGGTGACGTTGGCGCCACCAAGCCTGGCATGGGCTCCTCGTCGGCGGGAAGAGATCACCACCACAAAGAGACGGAGTAAGACTGAGGCGTAACGAGCTTTCATCTCCAAATTCTTTTGTGGGTGCTCAGTTGTGTTGTGAGAAAGGTTGTACTCAGTATCTTTCCTCACAAGCCGCAAATTCGAATTGAAGATGATTGTGTGAGACGTCCCAAGAAAAAGAAAAAACTCCCAAAAGAGCCAGTGAACAAATTGGGGCAGGAAGGTTCGGTCTAAGGCCAACCTGGATCTTTTGACGCACGGTTGGCCATCGAAAGATCAAAAAATCACGAGCCAGTGCTTTACTTACAGCCAGTGCAGATGTCAGTGCAGATGTCAGTGCTTTACTCGATGCTTTACTGAGGCTGTCATTGGCGGTCCATTAAAACAAACAAAGCTTCGAAGTGGTGTTACTACTACTAGTCCTAGCTACCAAGAACTGCAAGTGGTGTACTATTACTCTCTCTTGAAGCATAGCAGGGATCGAAGAAGGCTACTGGTACTGGATGAGTAACCGAGGTCTGGTGACGGAACTGTGTCCGGATCGGTGAAAACAAAGTTGGAAGTGGTTGTATGGTACCCTGTATTGGAAGAATGTGCAACAGGAGTAGTCAGTCAACAGTGGAGCTACAAGAGGACTACCATAGCCAAGTACGAGCCCATATGAGCCAATACCATTCTCAGTGAATCCAGTACAAGAAGAGACCAATAATGGCATCCAAGAAACACAAGAACGTTCGCCAGAAGCATCAACACCATCTCCCAAAGTGTCGCCACCTTCGAAATTCTCAGCATGAAAAAGCACCAAGGAACGAAGTACCGCCTGTCATGCTCCGTGATCATGACAAAAGGGCTGGGAATCGTACCAACGGTGCTTCCACCAAACGGCTTCATGCGCAAAGAGATACAGCCACTGCCTCATGGAATTTTTTTAATCCTGTGGTCAAGAATCGGCTGGAAGCAAGTTACTCGTCACAATGCCCACTGCTTGATTCGAAAATGCACTGGAAATTATACCTCTCTACAACAGCAACAGGAAATCCAACTCAGCAAAAAATTAGGGCCAACACCTCTCTGGTGTGGTACCGGTAGTAGGGTGGCAGCTGGGAGCTGTTGTCCCAGCTTGTAGTTTTTGTTCCAGCCTGTAGCTGTAGCTGTGGTCCCAGCTTGTTGTAGCTGTTGTCCCAGCCTGGAGCTGTTGACCCAGCCTGTAGTAGTTGTCCCAGTCTGGAGCTGTTATCCCAGCCTGTAGATATAGCTGTTGTCCTAGCCTGGAGCCGTAGCTGTTGTCCCAGCCTGGAGCCGTAGCTGTTGTCCCAGCTTGGAGCTGTTGTCCCAGCCTGAAGCGGTTGTCACAGCCTGAAGTGGTTGTCCCAGCCTGGAGTGGTTGTCCCAGCCCGGAGCTGTAGCTGTTGTCCCAGCCTGATGAAGCGGTTGTCCCAGCCGTATGTTCTACACCAAATTGCAACCTTTGGTCAAGTCCTCTGCAACTGTACTACGTGCACAACTGGCTTGCCAAATAATCGTAGATTCCTCCACCGTAATCCTCTGCAGGGCATTCCTAGGAATTCATTGAAGTTTTGTAAAATGTCTTACTAGCTTTTTATGAATCCGGCGTTAAATCATCCAGCCCTCTTGGTACACTTCAAACCATAACCAGAAGTGATGGTTTGAAGTACGTGAAAGGATTTCCTATGGACCAATCCTTACTAATTTACTAGTGCATGCTTTAACACACCAAAAGCACTTCAAGAAGGCCTCTTAATTGCAGAATCAGCTTTTGTACTTTTTGCCCCTATTCAAAAGAGCCAAAGTAAATTGCACGAGCCACCCCCAGACCCCCTTCTATGTTTAAATCGTGAGGTGACCTCACGAATTGGAGACGTGGATTCACTGTAGTCTGTAAATCATACTTTGAAATGCAGTGGAAGCGTCTTGTAAAAAGTCACAGGAGAATATGGTTATTAATCCATCAGCACACGCAACAAGGAGGCTTTACTCTCTCCGCGTAATTACTTATTCCTGCACAGCTGACTCGACTCACACGCGACTACTCGACTCGACTCGACTCAGACTGTCACTCGACTCACCCGGTTCGCTCTGGGACCGTTTGCAGATACCGGTAGATTGGATACTAGCTACTACAGTAGTAGCTCCGTCAAGTTTGAGGAAGCCGCGGGGAGAGCATGAGAGCGGCGAGTCAAGCTCTTGGCAGACTACCATACAGGTACTGCAAAGACCCAGGGATTTTTTCGTGGCAATGTCCGAGAACCCAGCATCTGATTTACTAGTATTTCATTGCTTAGATCTTGTTTGGCCATGGTTGGTGCATGGTCAGTCAGAAGGCTGTACGTACCGGACACCCAATGGCTTCGCTCGTTGTAGCACCTCCATGGTACACATCATCAACTACATCGCATCTCGTAGCTTGCTTTGCCGACGCGTTTGATGTGTATCATCGTTTCTCATGTGATTTCATTTTGAGTTGGAACAGATCCCGTTCCCCAAATAGCCGCAAAGAGCGAGAAACCGTTTTGAAACAACCCCTTGCCCTTGGGTTTTGATTTTGAGTTTGATTTGGCCTTCCCAAAGAAACGAGACAGAGGTTTTCTCTCTCTCCCCCCTCTCTTTCTTTCTCGCACAACTTCTTCTTCTGACTTCTTCCTCTCGAAGACATGCATGACGATGTCACCTTTCCCGGTGCTGCTTGCACTCGCTCCTCGGGGGTCTCGTGGAATTGACTTGCCGGTACGCCTCTCGTCAATTCGCTGGAAAGGTGTCGTCTTGCGGTGGTTCCAGTGGGGATGGTTAGTCCTTGCGCAAGGTAAAGTTGGTTATTCTGTTTGGTGGGGTCGCCGTTGTTCGTGTCCTTCTTCTCTTTCGTTGCTCTTGTTGCTCTTTTAGTTGATATGTTGCTTTGGGGGTTCGTCTCGAGCTGCATTGTCCCGATACCTGGTATCCCCTTGTTCTTGATTTGGTATCGCCGTTGTCTTATCATAATCCATACATTACGCTCTGCATGTACTGCCGGTAGTGCTACAAGGAAGGAACCATTCCAGGAACGCGGCTAACGCGGCTATCTAATATCTTTTGGATAATACATGTATAAGAGAAAATTATGTAGTTTAGAGTATGCAGCCCACTGACGCATCATTCCCTTCCCAGTCACTTCCCCATGGCGAAGATCCAATCTTCAGAGAGAGAAAGGTACTGTGGATATTGGCTGTAACCATACCGACTAAACTGTATTGAAGTAGTCGCCACCAGCGCCATCGCTCAGCTCTAGCACCTTTTGTTCCCTTGCGACTCGTCGTTGACGCAATCGCTCCAGAACGGCAACCAAACCCAGCAGACTGACGCACCCTATCGCACCTCCTAGAATGTAGAAGCGTGGATCGTCTTGGGGCGCACCACTACTCCGGTTTTCATGGTAAAAGACGGCATTCTGGACGGAATTTTGAAGACCCAGGGCAGGTTCCTTGAGCTCTTGTAGAGTTTCATTGTCCAGTCGCGTCTTGCTGCCAGTCAACTGGTATCCACTGCTACTACTACGGACCGATGCAGTGTATGTCATAAAGTTGTCACAGGAACCATCGGTAGAACACCCCACCATGCCGTAGCACTCGGTACAGACGCCTTCTCCAAAGATTTCCTTGTCAATATCGTACGAGTAAATATCGATGGATCCTCCCACGTAATACAAGCAGCTTCCTTCGTAATCAAACTCCATTCCATACATGGCGGTGAAGTCGTCATCGTCGTAGCTCATCACTGCCGTACCGGCAATGGTCGAACTGTCTTGGCATGCGGCATCTTTGTAGGAGAAATATCCATGAAGACTCTCGGTCCAGTCACCAGCACAAGACGATACAAGATAGGCAAAAAAGATCAATGGAGTTGATGGACGATACCTCATTGTTGCGTAATTTTGTTAATGCATGTAGTCTGGCTTGGGTTGGGTTGGGAAGGTGTTAAAAGTTCGTTATCTTTCGTTTCTCAAAGTAAGTGGGTTATTGGGTTGCTGTATGTTCGTTGTGGTGTTTGCGGTGCTCAGTTGGAGCCAAAAAGTGGAGATAAATTGCGGGATACCCAAATGACATTCAGTCGTTCAAGCGCTAACCCACAACGTTAACAAACGACCAGAAGGAGCGGGTCGATGCATTTGGTTTTGCCGATGCCACATTTCACTACTGTAGCACCCAAGATAGACTGCGGTACCGTCGTACCGGTATGAGAGAGGCAAACAACTGGAGTGTCCCTCAATCGTGGGTGAGTTTAAAATACGACCCAAATCCGACCCTAAATCTTTGAAAACCGACCCTAATTCCATGTAGCAATAGGGTCGGTTTTGAAACCCGCCCCTAAATCGAAACCCGTCCCTAAATTAGGGACGTTTTTTCAGAATCCGTCCCTAATTTTAGGGTCGGTTTCGAAACCCGACCCTAAAGGGGAATCCGTCCCTAAATCTGACCCAAAATTAGGGTCGGTTTTCGATATAAGTCATGCACGATTGAGGAACGCTCCTGATGTACCCGTAACCAAATGAACTACAGTTGATTTTTTAAAAAATACGATAGTTGGTTATTGAATCGAATCAAACGAGGAACTCTTGAAAGTGGTTGCAGCCTACTTTCGGAAGCTCCCAAGTTAATAAAAAAATCACTTTCTGTCGGAACATCATATCTATCTGCTGCCTGCGGAGGCATGTACCGGTAGTGTACCGGTACTACCGGTACAAAGAAAGCAGAGGCACCTATTGCTAGCTAGGACAAAGATCTAGTTTGATAGCTCCGACGGGATTGTCTAACACTTGAGCAACGTACCGTACTGGCTGCATACCGTACTCTCAATTGCTTCTGGTCCTTCAATGAGTCACTAGTCACTGGCGACTCAGGGGGGAATCCACCGAAAGCATAATCTAGCTAGCTAGCTACCGTAGAGGAGAGTATTAAATATAAGAGAGAATAGACTGTACCGGAACCAGTACAGGCTGTATCGAAGCTATTGACGCAAACGCAAGCACGGTCCCGCTAGGACATTCCATCCGAACTACGACATCTTGAATAAAAGACTTAAATGTACATGAGAAGACTTAAAGGCCACTCAACAGCCTCAACCCAACAGCGGCACTCCAGTTCGCTCCTCCTCTTTTGTTGTTACTACAGTAGTATTTCGATTTTCGATACCTTTATCCTCTATCTTTACTCTATCAAAATGATGCTATCTCCTCTTTACAGTGGCTACTCCTCTTTCATGGCTACTACTACTCCACCATGACAGGCTCCTCTTGTTTGGTTGGTAGCGGCAGCGGCAGCCGTTCGATCGATGTCGTTCGATCGTTCGACGGATCGATTCGGTTGACGACGGATCGACTTCTTTCTTCTTCCACGGAGCGACACGGAGCAACCATGACGCCTCCTCTTCCACGGAGCGACGGCTGCAACTCCTAGTACGACTTGCAGCGGCTTGCTACGGACGCCTCGGATTGATTGGATTAATTGGATTGATTGATGCTGCGGAGCGATCTATTTGAGCGGTGAAATGGCTTCTTCCACTCTTTGACGGAGCAACCATGACTCCTCTCCTCTTCCATGGAACGGCCGTAAGCCTCTGCTAATGATACTACACAAACAACAAGCGGCAGCTACTCTACTACTGTTTGGACTTGTCGATTGACCACAAACATGAACATGAATCTTTTCCGTTTTGTGGTCATCAAGCCAACAATTCTCCTTTGAACCTTTGGGATGGGTGCTCCTTCATGAAGAGCCACCCACTCCTCTACCAGACTCTACAGTGCAGGTTGGGTGCTGAGAGTGAGGACAGGAGCACCTTTCCCATGGAGAAATGCATGGCAGAATGACAACAAAATGGAATCCAAGCCTGACTTTTCCTGGATGCTCCATAGGAAACCTTGGAGATAGCAAATCCTTTTGAGGGGCGGCTCTGTGAGTGTGTTGGGGAGCCACTTATAGAAAAGGATTTGCTATCTCCATGTTTTGGTAAAGCTAATAGCCATTTGGTCAACACTGTTGCCATGGCGATAAAATTCATTTTATTTGCTTCAATCTTTTCTTTGTGGGAACCAGTCATTTCAATGCAGGATTCGCGAAATGACCATTTCTGTTAGAAATGACCGCTTCCGATTTTGGTTTGGCCAAAACCAATTTTGGAATTGTCAAATGAATCTGCACCGGAGGGCCAGTCCGTACTGCTGCATCTTGCACCGCTCATCATACGTACAGTACCTATCAGGGCCGGTCCTTGATAACGATGATTTGACAATCGTTCAGTCGAGACGGCAACAAACACACAACACACTCTCGCTGTTCCTTGATCGTTTCACAAGATCGAGGATCCTCATAGACAAGCGATATTATATAATAATACACACCCGCGAGGGCCGGTACTATACATCTTGCACAATACAATTCTATAAAATACATTATAATGAATGAGGACGACGTCCTTAAAGTTTGTTTGTCTGTGTGGGACGAACAGGACCAACTTCCAAAGCTCATTGCCACTCTCAACGGCATCGCCGCCCGCAACATTGACGCCCAAGGAGAGGGAGACAAACAAACCATTAATAAACAAGTGAAATTCAAAGTGGAGATTGGTGGTACTAGCACGCGAAGCTACTGGAAAAGCAAGGAGGATTGGGAAAAAGCCATTGCAAAAGCTTGCAACAATTGGACTCTCTTAATTCAAGCTTTGTATTCGAACCAAGCAATCCTTCAAAAACCTCTTGTCGTGAGGTTTTCCAGTCCCACGGGTGACCGTCCCTTTGATGAACCTTGCTCGTCAAATGCCGAATTCAAGGTCGTGACCCAGATTGCGGCTTTCCTTTGTCCGCGTTTGCTTTCCGTGCAAGTGACCATGGACGATCAAGTAGCAAAGGAATCTTTTGTCAAGTCGTTGACTGAATTTCTACAAAAATTTGCCCCCATTTTCAGTTGTTCCTTGACCTTTCGCAGTGCGACGAGTACCACCACTATCAATAACAGTACCACCACTTTGCAGGTCGCGGACGATTTTTTTGCTGCCTTGCTTGGCATTCATAAGCTTAATATGCATCTAGCCCTGGACGAGCATCAGCAAGAGCAAGATTCCATGCCACGACAGGCTCCGGTGGCAGTATCCTTTTGTCATTATTTGTCCCAGGCGTGGACCAATCCAAGTAGCCACCAAAACCGCTGCAGGCTCCGAAGCATCACCTTGCACGGAAACTACTCTCATCAGAATGATGAGACCGCAGCGGAAGCAGCCATTCGAGCATTCTTCCAACTCTTTCAACAGTCCCACAACACCATGCATTGGCTTTCTATGGAAACCGCTGCTCCCTTCGACCACCCCGGAGGATGCACGATGATGCAAGGCTTTTCTTGTCCCTACCGCCAGGACACGGGGCTGTTGTTTTGGCGGAAGGACGACGAGACCAAAGCCGATTTGACTTTGCACATTTTTGGGTGGCCCAGCAACCTCAACCATGGCGTGTGTCCATTAGAGCTAGCCATTTGCAATTCTTTGGAGCAATTCGGTACGCTGCCTCCTTCCACCCCTGCCGACCCTCCTGCTGTTGGCAATGTTGTTGGTGGTGCTGCTGCTGCGGCTGCTGCTGCTGCTCCTTCAACTAGTGGTTGTGGCTGCAAAAGGCTGAAGCATTTGGACGTTTTCTTTGGCCGAACCACAACATCCAATGTTCTGGAACGCCTGCTCCGTAATGCATTGGGTACCAACAAGGTTCTTCAGCAACAATTACGAACGTTGAGCTTGGGAATTTTTTGTCCTTCTTCCTCCCGACTCCAGCATCTGTATTCGTATTTGGTGGATCTTGTGCCCCAAATGACAAGCTTGCGGGAGCTCACGGCTCGGCCTATTTTTGAGGTTTTTCTGACTCCTTTGCCCCTACCAGGTCGCAACGAGGAGGAACAACTAAGACGTTTTCCGACTCAGTTGACGACTAGTCTCCTGGACGGTCTCCGAGCCAATACCTGTATCGAAAGGTTTGACTGTTGCGAACACGTACTTCGAGATAGCAGTCGTCACAGTACGAGTTCCTCGATAAACGCAGTCTCCAAGATTCGGCTTATTTGTCGTCGCAACCAACTCCGCAAACTAATGGATGCCATTATCAAGGGGGTCATGGCCACTGCCGACCAAGTACATCGCCACAACAACATGGGCGAGACGTCTCCACTTCTTCGTCCCATTGCTCTATTACCGCTGGCCATAAAGGCAGTCCATGACAACCATGAATGTCAAGAGGAGAGTTTCAGTCTGATTTACAATACTCTTCGGGTGGTATTGCCCAACATTGCAGACGACAAGTTCTAGTACGGTGAAATCAAGCGATCTTTGATTGATTGACAATGCTGGATGGACTGTCCATCGCGCCACAACACTCTGTGCAATTCGTAAGAGTCCTCTGGCAGACTCAGTTAGAACAATGTAAAGGTAGAGCTAGAGACCATTTGGCCAGCACTACTGGCTTCCGTAGATAATTTCCCTACTCTAAACCCCTTCTATAAAACTTGCCATGGTGGTAAAATTTATCTTTTCTTTGTTCTTTGTTATTCTTTGAACCAAGAGTAATTCACAACCGATTCGTGAAATGACCACTTCTGGGTCCCTATTTCCGAAAACCGAAACATAACCGTCAAAAACGCTCACATTTTGACACCTGTCAGCGGTACATAAAGTCATCCTGTACGCTGTACTCTACGTAACCGCGAATAACCATTCGTGGAAGTAGACTTCTCTGACGCACCTGTACTAGTACTGGTAACAGTACGGGCTACCGGTACAGTACCAAAAAGATTGAGTCGATTGAGATTCTGTGAATGAAGACTACATGTACCGGTATCCCGAGAGCTGCATGGAGCGTTTGGGTGTTTGGGTACGCAGCCTACTACTAGAGCTTCGCAAATGATATCAGCTTACATATTATTGAATTCTTCCATTTCCTGTGCCTACCAGTAGCCCCTTTTCGGTATCCCAGCTGATCATAACTGTGTGCGAACTGATGTTTGGTAGGACTTCCACTCCGAAATGAAGGCCTCCTTCCGTCGCGAGGCAGTGCGTCATACCGACCCAGCCATGTGTTCGACGAATGACCGTTTTCCAGTCTCGAACGACAACGATGTTGGTGCATCTCCTGGTCGCACCATGTTGGCATCGTTATCCAGCTCTCACCGACCCAGCCATTCGGGTAGAGTTGGTGAGTAGCTAGCAAGTGGCTGGCTCATCGCTGTTCGCTTCTGCAATGTTCCGTGGAACTCTCACCAAGTCACCAAGTGTCTGTGCTCTACTAGTAGTAGCGTACTGGTAGAGCACTCTCGAGCTCTCGAGCCCCGTGCGTACTTGATCTTGCATGGACGGGAGGGGTGGGGAGGTTGGGACGGTAATTCCTGAGAGCTCTCCAAAGTGGTTGTTTGGCTTCTTCGGGCCTTCTTTCGCATTGAAATAATTCGCCCCGCAATCCTCTTCCTTTCTGAACATCAGATTCGATTCTAGCTTAGATTCTAAAAGCTGTTCTAAACATACATGACCGTGTCACGTGTCACACTTCAGGTTTCAAGTCGGCCCACACGGTGGGCCACACCCTCTTTGGAGGTGCGGTCGGTGAGTTACCAGCAAGACCCAGTAAGACTTAACAATTTTACAAGTAAGTGTTTAGTTCTGGTGAATTCAGCAACCGACTAAGAAGAGAGCTTTGCGATTGTAGATTTTCAGGGAGCTTTGACACAGAATAACTCTTTTAAAATGTTACATCAATTTACCTGACTACCCAGGTTGTAAGGATGTACTGCTGTAATTTGCAAAGTATCGTTTAGGCTCGGCCGCACACTAGATCGGCTACAGTGTAGCCGCTTTAGGTTAGAGTTGACTCTCACTCAACCACACACCAGCCGCTCATGTGGTACCAATAGACTCCTCTTTTAGAACGTGCTCTACCCTCTCTTTGCCTATGTTGGTGGCCCGCAGGGCCAATCTAGGTCTACATACATGAATAGCTAGTATGGGAGGTTTGGCGGCTACCAGATTGCTGTTTGGCGCACGGGTAGAACGGTACTGAATCAACGTGACTGGACTTTTTTCATATTTTTGCACAAAGTATTGAAAAGCAACTGACAATGACGCCCAATCGGAGGGAAAATGCTGGGTCTTCTACCCCTCGATCATCGACTAGAGCAAGCAACAATGGCAGAGGCCAGTCGCTGCCACAGAGCACCCCTTTGCGCAGTGTTACCACTGGTAGATCTCCAAATTCTTGCTCTGTTTCAGAAATGACAACCACACCTTCACGAAATGGAAATGAATCCAACGGAACAGACAGCGTAGCATTTGATCCAGGACGCTATGAAGAAGAGTATGATAGAGCTCGGTATGCAGAGAATGCGGGTGATCCAGAATCAGAAGATGAAGGGGACGGTCCAGGGAACATTTCCATTATCCGAGATGTTGCAGTGGAAAGAAATGCTCATGTAGAAGAAAACTTGGCGGCCTTGCACGATGAGACTGATTTCATTGCATCTTCAGAAGAAACCAATCCCTTCATCTCTAATACTGTCATTGAAGGAGCTCCACCAAACTGGAATCGTCCTGCTCCTCCTGACAAGTGGAAGCCCTTGAAAGTCAAGACGGACAAGGGTGAGCCATTATTTGCGAATGTGGACAATCCTGGTGGATGGTCGCAATTCAGCTACCAACCTCGCTTTGCAAAAGCGACGAGCACAGTAGCCAAGGCAAATGGTGGGAAGACATACCTTCACCATAGTCTTCCAACAGGCGCAACTCCAGTTCCAGTTGATACTTCCAGTGGACGGCGCCAGATTGGAGGCTATGAATTTCATTATGCTGGCTGGACTTGCACTGATCCAAATATTTCATCATTCAGAAGTGGAGCGACACGAGAGAATATGTTTCCCGATGACAGGAAGGGATCATTAGACAAAGCAAAGCTGGAGCTATTGGGGCTGACAAAGGAGAGAATGTCTGAAGAGGATGGAACACCTGATGCTTTGTTCTTCCACCAACTCCTCCTTCCAGTCTGTGATCCAAGCAAATCTGGAATTGTTGGTGATCCAAGAAAAGGATATTATCACTTTGTGTCGAGATGGTCCAACCTGTATGCGATGGGCGAACTCGAATTGGGCAATGGATATGGTCATGATTACAAGTGCACTAATCCAGCTGAACTCCTTCGATGGGATGGAGTTGTTGGCATGGATGGTGTCCGCGGTGGCTCGAATGGAGCAATGCTGAGACGTTTCAACAACCAAGAGGGAAACACTGCGTACTGTCCTTTCATTGCTGGTACAATGTCCAAGACTCGGTGGCTTGAACTGAAAAGAGTGTACAAGCTGTGCAATAACAGAGAGGTTCCCAAGAAAGGGGAGGAAGGATATGACCCGGCATACAAGTATGACTTCATTTATCGGACTCTGGTTAATAATTGCAATGCTTTGACCAAAGAAGCAGGCCTGGACTTGGCTGCAGATGAGACAACTTGGGGGCACAATGGTCATGGCGAAGCTGGAAGTGGTCTCGTGTCTCTCATCTTAAACAAGCCCCACATCACCAAAGGTGGACAGATTGTCATGGTGGTTGATGTTGATCGAATTCGGCTGCGAGGTTACGTCCACCGGCACAAGCTACATAAGAAGCCTGCCGATTGGCACTGCACAGAAGGTCAACTTGAAGCAAGGATGCTTGTGGATCAGATCACGCCTCTTGTTATTGGATATGGCGAAGCAGATGAGAATGATCCATTCAAACCGAAAGGAATCTTCTCAGATTTGCCTCACATTACATGGGATAATTACTTCTCAGGCGACAACATCTTGGAGTATGCCGGCAATATTGGTTTTGGAATGACAATGACATGTCGTCGTGACAGGCTTCCTTCCTCTGTTCCCTCCAAGTACATGCAAAAAGAGAAGACACCAGTTTCTATTCGATCAAAGGTGGCAAGATTTGAGAATCCCATTGTCATGACGAAGAAGCTGCGTGCAGCTGGAACTAATATTGTGTTCTGTACTTTTCAGAGCACGTCTTCCTGTAACATTGCCACTGTCAATGCTCTTAACAGTTGTGGCCTCTATGCACACAGTAAAGAACGAGGAAGAGGTTCTCAGAAAAGACAATGGGCGATTGAAATGAACGAAGCAAGGGAACTCTACTTGAAAACATATGGGGCGATTGACAGATTGGACCACATGGTTCAAAACTGCCGACTCTGCTACAGGCAAGTTCTGTTGATTGCATAAACTGTTTCGATTTTTTTATGTCTAACATTTGTTATTCTCTTTCTGCAATCAGGTCATGGAAGTACTGGCATTCCGCAATGCTCCACGCTAAGGGAATTGCAATTGTTGTTGCCTATGACATGTACCTTGAGTGTGCTGAAGGAAACCTTGATCCTGCTTGGAAGATTGAGAAGCCAATTGACTTCTTTCGTTTCAGAGAGAAACTTGCCAAGCAAATGTGCCAATACACACCAACCACTCGAAAGTATGCTGGTGATGAAAACTTTCGAGTGGCAACAAAGCAGCCTCAGAATCGCCGCTCTCCAACACCAAGACCAAACAAGCGAAAGCTACCCACTCCATCATCAAGCAGCCATTCCACCACTTCCACATTATCGGCGCAGGATGTTCAGGATGCAAATGGCAGATTGTGTGGCAGACTTGATAAACTCTGCGCTCATATGGATTCAGTTGAAAGGCTTCCAAAGCACAGAACCAAGGTTTGTGTTGTTTGCGGTGGCGATTCAGCTCACATCTGCAAGCTGTGCAACAAGGTGATGCATTTCCAACTTCCAAAGAAGAAAGATGGCCAACCGGATACTGGCATGGTGACTTGCTTTGTTCGTTACCATGACACCTCTTTCTTTGGTTTGTGCCGTGATGACTGGGAACTCCGTGGAATTAAGCGCACTGATTGGTGTTTCCCAGCACAAGATGCAATGCAACAACATGCTCTGGAAATGGTTGATTTGCACAATGAAGCACTCAAAAACTCGAAGAGACGCACAAATGATAACAGCACTGGTGGCAGCATTGGCAACAACAGGACTTCCACACTGGCTTCCAGGGATAACAACAATAATCAGACTCAGCAGCAGGCAAGAATCGATTCCAGTGCTACCGATTCCAGTGCTACCGATGACAATGAAGACGATCGGCCGTCCCATCCCGAAAACAGAATCCTTTGAGTCGGTGGAATTTGCGTTGGAATTACTGACAACATCATCATTGTGATGTTGTCAGAGCTAATCAAGAGATCGGATACTAATGCCTAGGTTGCTGCTGCTTCCCATGCCTCCAATTCTGTCCTTTTAGCTTCTTGCCTCTGGAGGCGTTGTGTGTTGGAAGTGAAGCAGTGGTTGTCGGCCGATCGAATGTTGAGGACTGTCGGCCGTCGAGTCTTGTTGTTGTGACGAGTGGTCAACAGCAGATGAGTCGATGAGTCAGTTTGTGTGGTGGAAAATGTACTGCTGAGCGAACGTCACTGCTACTGCAGCTGCTGCTGAGTGAACGTCGACAATGGTGCTGTGGAGTGGTTGACGACGACGACGGCGGCTGCGCTTGCGAGCTGAGTGGTTGTGTCGGTCGTTGGCAGCAGATGAGTCAACGTCGACGATGGCACTGTTGAGTGCCAGCAGATGATCGGCTGACGATGAGTGGTTGGCCGACGATGGCGCTGTGGAGTGGTTGACGGCCGTTCGTTCGTCAACAACAACAAGTCGAACGTTGACAACAAGAGACGAGTGGTTGTGGACTGTCGACAACGACAACAACAACGATGGTCGATCTTTGTGTTGTGGATGAGTCAGTTTGTGTTTCGTGTAGAAAGAGTACCAGCTGCTGCTGTAGATGATGTAGCTGAATAAAGAACATCTATTGAAACAGCAACCATGTCTAACCATCTGTTTTAGCTATGCTGTCTACTGCTGTAAATGTACTAGCTGCAGGTGTGGACAGTGTCCGGGCAGAACTTTTGACCAGCAACTGGGTTGCTGGTACTTGTGGCCAGGACCAAACGATAATGCTTCAAGAGTTCAAAATGGGAGATTATAAAGGCCTTAGGGGTTGGACCATCTCTGACAATCTTGTAAAAATTGAGTGCCCAATGAGAGAACTGCTTCTTCCGTAGACATCAGTTGAGGTTTTGTTGCAAACAGAAGAGTATGTTTCAAGGTGGCTTGGTTGCCATTTTGTTTTTCATGGGCACCAGAGGAGCATGTTTCAAGTTCAAGACTGCCTCCAGCAACCCTCTAATTCTTCGTTGGTGCACTCCACACTGCACACTAAGTCTTCCTTCTTGAAGACCTCTTTTCAACACGATCTCAAGATCTCATCAGAGCAGCATCAGAGTCTCAAAGGTCGCCGAGTTCAGCTTTTGGCACGACCCCGAGCTTGTCAAAAACCAGAGTCGAGCGCAGTCACACATTTGGTTTGCCTCACAACGACCAACAGACGATGGCCGACACTCCCAACAAATCTACTACTAGTAGTCCCAACCCCGCCTTGGAAGCAGACCAAGAACTCGAGATGCCACCGGTAGACCACGAACTCGAGAAGCCACCGACAGACGACGTTGCGGTCGTTTCCGACGACGCTACCGGTAGTAGTACGGGTACACTGGAAGACTTGAGCAAGGCCGATCTTGTTTCCTCGATTCAGCCATTGCCTTCTGCGCCGCCGCAAGAGGACGAAGAAGCACCGGGTGCTCATGCAATTGCTGGGATTGCCCCGTTTTCTCGCGTTGTGGTTGTTCCCCCCAACAATGACCGTCCTGAAGAAGAAACATTGGACAACGGCTCGGAAGACGAGGGATTGGTGCAAGCGGAACTGGTTACTACCGATGTGGTCCACGCCCACAAGGTCGAGGAAGAACCTCCAACTCAGGAACGCTCCAGAATCGTCGTGGTGGTAGCGGCGGCTCTGATTCTCATCATTGTCGTACTGGCGGTCGTTGTGATTGCTCTGGTAAGTGGTGGCAGGTCCAGTTCCAACAGCAACCGACAGCCCCAGCAGGAGACTAATAGTACGGACGACCATGACTGCTTTCAAACATCCACGGAACTCTTTGAAGCCATCAACCAGTACTACCAAGATGACACCCCCGCGTCCTCTGTCGCCCAAACCTACGGTTGGCCCATTGGCCAGTGGTGCGTGTCCCCGCTCTGGGACTTTTCCTACATGTTTGCCGCTGACCGGACGCGGGACATTCTCGTCACGACACTACCCGAACAAGTGCAGACAGCGGCCGAGAACTTTCACGAAGACATTTCATCGTGGGACATGGGCGCCAATGCCCGCCACTTGGACGAAATGATGCGGGGTGTCCAAAATCTATCCAACAGTTGGGGCATTGCCCAATGGGACGTGTCCCAAGTGACCAGCATGACGTGTATGCTGGCGGACACGACATGGAACCAACCACAGCTGAACTTGAGCTCGTGGGACACGTCCAACGTGCACACCATGTCGTGCTTGTTGGAGAATAGCAACGTGGAGGCGGCGGGGTTGGCACAGTGGGATACGAGCAACGTCACAAACTTGTGGCGATTTGCCGAAGGTACCACGCACTTTAACGAAGATCTGAGTCAATGGAACACGGGGTCGGTCACACAATTGCGCCGTGCCTTTCGCGGTGCACTCGCGTTCGACCAAAACTTGAGTCAATGGGATACAAGCATGGTCACCGGTCTGAGCAGTGCGTTTCGATTTGCGGCTATTTTCAACGGAGATGTGACGACCTGGGATGTCTCACGGGTGGATTCTCTACTGGGAACCTTCCGCGGGGCTCGAATGTTCAATCAAGATATTGGGGCTTGGAATGTTTCACAAGTGCGCGACATGAGAAATGCCTTTGAAGGCTCGGCGTTCAATCAAGATGTCTCGTCGTGGGATGTTTCCAGTACCACGGCTCTTGTGGGAGCATTCCGCAATGCGCAAAACTTTTCCCAGAATCTATGTTCCTGGGGGCAGAAGCTTCCTTTCAATGCCACTACGCATATCATGTTTGAAGGAACGGCATGCCCCAACACTTCGGCACCGGTCATCCCGCACGGTCCTTTTTGTTACAACTGCGTGGACTGAACTGAGAGGTTTCTGGTGCTTCCTTCTGTGGTAGCTGGGAGCATCAACACCTACCAAACAGAAATATAACGGGGGCATCCTGTTGAGGATGAAGGTTCCACCTGAGACTACCGGTGGTACCGACGGTGGACGGCTGTAACCTATGCATCTATGCATAAATCCTTTGGGAAAATAAATGATACTACATGTACCGGTAGCTAGTACTCCGAGTACAGTAGTCTAACTTAGTAAATAGAACCGTGCCACTCGATGATGTCAGCGCGCAGGTCTTTTTACGTACTCCATGGACACTCGGGACGGTTGCTCCGATCTCGTCTCATTGTCCTCTGTTCTCCTCTCAGTCATTCCATGTGAGCGTAAAGCCTTTTTTTAAATTAAGTAATGCACTTATCCCCTCTCGAAATTTCCATCTGTCGTGGTCTTTCTGCTACCGGCACAATGGTACCAAGGCTGCCCCCACTGTTGCTGGCCAAGCAAGCAACCCACGCATTGGCAGCCGAAGCATTCTCTGCACCAACCTGCTTGGACTCAACTCAGCTCAAAAAGCAAACAGTTTTTCACTGACCTCTAGCTCAGCCTATATAACAAAAAGCCAAAGGGTTGTGGAAGAAAAAACTGTTGTGGTCGCTCTCGGCAGAAGCACTGGTGGCCATACTCACTGTCCTGGTGATAACTATTGGGGTTGTTGTCAAAAGCAATAGACATGACCAAGGGATTGGGCAAAAACAACAACAGAAAGGGACCATGCAAATTCCCCAAAACCCTGGAGCAACAAACCCACCGAGAAGCTTTTTGGACAGCCTCAATCTTCCTGACTACACATTAGAGGCAATTGATGATCCAAATTCTCCACAGTCAAAGGCATATGAATGGCTGGTGGGAGAGAACACGAGTCTTCCAACCTGGAGACTAGTTCAGCGATTTGCCCTGGCTACATTCTACTATTCAACCAGAGGAGACCATTGGGTAAACCATCATGATTGGCTGGACTGGCAGGCACATGAGTGCAATTGGGAGCAACATTTCTTTGATAGTGCATTACATCAGTGTGACACTTCAGGATAAGTTATCTCTCTGTCCATGGTTGCCAGCAATTTGGCAGGAACACTTCCACAAGAAATTTCGCTTCTCAGTCCAAGTCTCGAGCTTCTGGATCTCTCAAAAAACATGGTGCTTACTGGGCAGATACCATCTCAGATTGGGTTATTGACAAGGCTGACAACATTGTACACTGGTGTGACAAGCCTTTCAGGTAGTTTGCCAACTGAGCTAGGCATGTTGGTGGAAAACTTGAATGATGTATTACTAGGTTCCAGCAAAATCTCAGGGAGTGTTCCATCGGAATTAGGGCTTTTATCAAAGCTCACGAGTATCTGTTTTTTCGGGATGGGACTAACTGGTAAGACAGTTTGACAAAGTTGGATATGGGTGGCAATCCATTCTCTGGTTCTATAGTCACAGAAATTGGCTTACTCTCTGACCTCAAAGCTCTAGGGCTTCAAGATCATACCTGGCTATCTGGGACACTCCCCACAGAATTACTGGCCTTGTCCAAGTTGACAAAACTGACCGTTGCCAACAGTTCTCTCTCGGGCAGGATTCCGGATGGCTTTTGTCATATCTTGTACCGTTATGAGCTGACATGTCATGGCTCCAGTGTTTGTACTCCCGGCAAGAAGAAGATGAACACGTCCGTCTGCCAAGGAACTGCCTTGTGTGGATGCAGCTGCAGACCTTGTTAGCATGCATGGTTGTCTGATGATGGAACATTGAATAAGTTTTTCTGTTCTTGTTTTCTAACTAGCTAGTTCAAGTTTTAGCTACTGGATGGCTCAGCATTCCACGACACGCTCTTAGATTCCACCCAGTGTGAAACATGTGCCACACTTGGTCCGATTGGTGACTGGTGACAGTCATTCGAACAGTCGAGAACATACAGTCAGCCCTCTCTCTTATTTATGAGGGGGTATCCTGGACTTTGATAAATATAATGGAGGGCATAAATATAAGCGTTTTCTAGGGCCTTATTTGCTAGTAAAGTACGAATGAAGGGAGCTATCACGCTTTCGCTTGCCTGCCTTAGCAGCCCAATCGGCGTCGTTCATGTTGGTCTAGGTCGGATTGGAGCCTTTGGTATGGTTTGCGTGAAATTGTTTGGCAGCTCACAAGAATTGTTTTTGTCTGGTCAAAACCATCCTTCCAAAAATGCACGTAAGCAACCAGGGCTTGGGCTGGCACCGACGAGACAGCCTCTGAGAGGTGCGTGCAGAGGTACCGCAGAGGTGCGAGGAATCCCATGTCCATTGGATCTATATCGGCATTTTACATGCCATCTCGGTCAAATTGAAACGGTTGGAATGGATTGTGCGACGTTGTCGGGCTGCTCGAAAGATTTGTTGCTGCAGTCACGGTCACTCATGACTGCAGTCACGGTCACTCATGACTGGGGGGGGGATCTCGAGATTTAATAAATATAATAGAGGGAATAAATAAGAGATTATAAATAAGAGCGAGGGCTGACTGTAAATAATGTGGCCTCAGATCTGAAACCCCATTTTCCGGGAACATCAAAATTTCGAGAAGAGTCCTGTTTTCCCTTCACAATCCAAATTACAATCCACAATCTGCTAGCTACCTAGCTAGCACAATCTAACCACTTGATTGCCTGCCTTGGGTTCCTGCGTCGTGCCCTCCCCTTGAGCTCTGTCTCCATCCTCATCTTAGCTCTCTCTAATCCATAGTAAACCCGATTCCTACACCAAGCAAATAAAGAAGACCATCATCACTAGACTATGATGCCATTACAGAATCATCATAGAGCAGTACTAGCAGTACTAACAGTAGCTGTGTGGTGCCTCTTATTACTTCCACCACCAGCCCACGCCCAAACAGACGAACATGGGTTACTGCAGACATATTCCTTCAATTGGGGCACCTTTGCCATTTTTGCCTCCTACGTGCCGCTCATCAGCATTTGCTTGGGAAATTACCGATCAGCCGTGGAAGCGCACACGTATTGGAATGCTACGGAAGACCAGATCTTGTTGGCCCGTCGGTGCATTTGGACGGCCGCCTTGGAAGCCATTGGTGTGTTTTTGATGCTAATTATAATATCGGCCATTACCATTGCGCTCTTGACGAATCCGTTGGACGAACGCATGGATTACATCATTGAAGGAGTCTCCCGATTGACATCCAGTGTCATTCAATTTCAATTGTCCATACGAGTGGCCATTTGGATGGGCGTCTACCAGAATCCTTTTTCTTCGGCCAAACAAATGATTGAGGTCGACAAAGTGGGCACCACCGTCGTCGAATTGAAACATCGCGTGCGATGGAGTGTCTCGAAACGCATTTTACGGTCCTTTTTCTTTCTCTGCTTTTTATTCCAAGGCGCCAATGCTGCCGAATTGCCATTGGCCATTCTAGCGGGGTTAGCGTTTGGATTCTTTGTCGATTGGGGCATTTACAAAGCCCGACGCTTTGAAAGCCGCTGCAGGCAAAGCGCGTTCAACATTTCCTTTCTCGTCGGACTCACCTTTTGGTCCCTCGTCCAATTGGCCAATGGCGTGCTCTTTATTGCCGCTGTGTGGCAGGATACCAATGACGTCGAAGAATCGACTTGGGATATTTGGGCGTTTTTCATTGGGGTCGTTTTGTTTCCGGCCATTCACATTACCATTTACTGTCTGACCCGGCGCAAGGGAGACGACGACGACGAAGAAGAAGAAGAAATCAACCAAGTAGTGGGAGGCGAATCGGTCACGAGTAGTGCCAAGACGACAGTCAGCAAACCTCGACCGAGAATGGCCGCCAGCATGTTCTTTTCCGATCGAAACGTCATCAAAAAGAAGCTAGAGGAATCCAAAGATGTACACGTAGCAGCGGCAATGGCAGAGATCGAGGAAGAGGAGGAAGGAAACGAAGAAGAGGGTGAGAAGGGAGGAGCAGACGTAGAGAAGGATGGACAAGAGGGGGATAAAGAAGGAGGAGAGAAGGAAGGACAAGCGGATCAAGTTCAGGGAGAAGACGGAGCACACCAGGAAGGACAAGAGATGGGGATTGAAGCCGGAGTACAAAAGGAAGAAGAAGACGGCGAGCACGAAATCCAGCCGACGGAACTGGAGTCTGGAATGGAGACGAACGAAACCGAAGCACAACAACAATCAACACCAGAGAGTCCCCAGAAAGATGGCGACAATGATGAGATGCCTCCTACCCTCTGGGAACTCATGATGGATTGGCAATGGTGTGGATGCGCACGTGGAGATGACATGTCCGCGATGGAAAAAACCACCAATGTGATTGTATGGATCCTATATTTGGCTATCTGTGCCTTGTGCCTATTCTTTGTCGTGATCAATATTGGATCGACACAACAACAGGAGGCAGTTCGTGTCAAGTTGCCATTTGTCTATGGAGCGCTGTACGAGTTTATGGACGAAGGACCCGTGTGCGCGTACAATAACAAAGGGGCCAATTCTACCATTACCACATTTCCCGACAAGGATGCGGCACACGCCGCAGGGTTTCTCATTCTGCATTGCGGAGCCTGTTCCAATTGTTCCACGTGGGGCAATCTGGAGATACAATATACGACGCGCGAATGTCTCGCACTGGAAGGACGAAAGTGTGCGCAAGGGTCCTTGTTTGGAGGAGGATACGACGCCCTCGTGGATTGCATCGAGTCCGATTCGATTGGCTTTCAAGGCCAATGCGCCGTTTGCTGGGCCGACGACATCAAGTGCACCATATCCCATTGCTGGGCCATTGGAGTGCAATCCTTCTTTATCAACACATTGGCAAACTTTAAAGTCGGAGAGGACACAATCACGTCGGCAACCTGCGAAGAAGCGCACTGCGAAGCTGGAAATCCGGGTGACTTTGTAGCGTGTTCGGGAGCCAATCGTCGACGCATGAACATTACAAGCAGCATTGCACGTCCAGGGGCGCAGCAGTGCAGCATTGTGGATGTGGATTATCCAAAATTGTTCCCCAAAGACAAGTGTATGTGAGGGATCAGTCCTTCTTCTTCTTCTTCTCCTACCGTACAGCATTAATGTATTCCAACCCGACCACTTCCTTTGCATGAATGCATCTCTGTGCTCATTTTTCATTCATGTATTACAAGCAACCAGCAGCAACGTATCTTTGAATGTCCCGGTAACGGTGATGATGTCCGCGAGACTGTAGCAGATGCAGATGCCGTAGCTGTTTGGTGGAACAAGCCACTCAAGTGGGTGAATGGAAGCTCCAGCAAGGAGAAGATCCTGTCCTGGGCATACACGCGTGTGCCTAATTCTGGATTGAACGCGCCAGAATAATCACCATTTCTCTGTGGACCAATGCCAACAGAAGGAGCCACCATGTTTTTGGCCTCATGGAAAACTGCATTGGTTACCAAACTGAATGAGTTATCGCGATGCCTAAAGACACTGCAGCCGCTGTGTGAAGGAGACAAGAATAACCAACGCTACCGGATGTCGTCCAATGCATCTTATTCATATCTATGACTAATGCTAGCTATTAACTTTGATGCATTATTGCTCTTGGTAGCTGCTTCTCCTTCTCATCCTTGATGCACACGGGCATTCGCTTCCTCATCCTTCCCCGCCATTCCAATCAATTTTGGCCTCTTCTTGGCGTGTTCGGATGGCAGATAGCTTTGGACAACATCCTTGTCCGATGATCTCGGTTTGGCTTGTAGCTCCTTCAAGACTCCAATGCATTGCAAGGCAGAGGGTCGATTGACTGGATTCGTTTGTATGCAATCAGCCTGAATATTTTGTAGCGCTGATAAATGTGACTTTGGGATGTCCACGTTGGCTGTCTGGAGTAGGAAACCTAGTCCCCAGATATCGACTTTGACATCGTGTGATTGTCCAGTTTGGGCTTGTCCGCTTCCTTCCGACTCCACCATTTCTGGGGCATGGTTGCCTGGGGTAAGGGTGTGTGCACCGAACGGAGGCTGCGGGGCCCAAGCCGCGAACTCGAAATCAAACAGTACCCACTCCCTCGAGAACAATGAAGCACGACCCCGGTCCGCCTTGGTGACCTTCTCGCCGCTGTGTTCAGCATCAACAGCAAATGTGTGAAACACGTTGGCCCACCGAATGTCACGGTGCATGACCCCTCGCTTGTGCAGCACAACCAACGCTTCACAGACACAGATCAAAGCGTCGACAAGCTCGTCAACGTCTTGCGGCAAATAGCTTCTCCCAACGGGAGCAAAGTTGCAGACTATTGCACTCGTTTTGTCCTCCTTTGCCGATATCAATCTATCCGTGTGCGGAACTTGCGCCACGTCCAGCATCTTGTAGACATCCATCATATTCCCGACGGTGGCATTGGTGATGCTGCAAATGTTGGGTGTAGAATACTCTTTCTGGATGTACGGCTGATGGTTGGTTTCGTTACTCTGCTCGACAAGACGGAGCTTGGTGAGTGAGCTCCACAAGAGCGGCACTGCAAAGTCTTGGAGGCAGTGAAGGATCCGTGCCAGGTTCTTTAGAATGACGCAAGTCTGTAAGCGCCAGTCGTCATTGTTCGTTAGAGAAATCACATGCAGGTGTCGTAGGATTTGAAAGACACTCTGGTCGTCGGGATGCATTTGATGATATCCGAAGATCAGCTGCTTTTGCCGTCCGTCATGGTGACATCGAAGAAGATAGTAGCGTTCGGGATGCACTTTGTTGCTCAGAGTCAAGCGAAGTTTCTCGAGTTCAGATTCGGAAAACATGGGTCCGGTTGCGAGGAACAAGGCAATCCCTCGTGATGCCAAGCTCAAGCTGGACCCCGACTGGTGGCTTTCAACTCTATGAAGCATCAGGTACTTCAAACAATTGCCCACATCCTTCCAGGGAGTGAAGAAGGGAGAATCGGGATCCCCAAAGCTGAAATAAGGATGAAGAGATGCGGTAGCAGTAGAAGTTGTATCCCAATCAATCATTCTTTCGAACATAGGAGTGTGCTTTTGCTTTTGCCAGTGATGTCGCGTCGAGAAGTCAGTTGGATCAACTGGAACGCGAACACCCCAAGGCGAGAAGAGTGCATCCTCGAGTTCATCTGTCTTCGGTGGAGAGACGAAAGGTATCGTCAGTGCTCGAATCACGGCAAGCGTACAATGATTTGATGAGTCTTCATTGCTGTTGTTGGTCTTGGATCCTGTTGCCATGGTCATTCTTCAGGGTTGCTTGTGCGACGTTCTTTCGATGATCCCTTGAGGAATCGCAGAAACCGTGTGTTTGTGATGCCATCATCACGCATCAACCAGAACCCTGCATGGAGGCTTGTCTCTGTGAACATTTAGCATTCTCACCTTTTGCTACATTTTTTTAAAGTGATGCCACCGTTCCATCAGTTCTCGGTTCGCTGGACATGATGCCGCAGGCTTCGCGTATTTAGCACAGCCGACAGCAAAAAATCTTCAGATTCATCCTTCAAATCAAGCTGACAGCTCCAGGCTTGCACCTATTTGGTCCACCGTATTCTTTGGATGTTGATAGACTTAGTTCAAAACCTTCGGGAAGGCGCCTTTGGACCTTGCCCCAGCTAGCCAACCATCTTGGTAATGGGTATTCGTCTGGCACTTCATTGAGCCCATGGATTGCTACTTGCTCGGAGGAACCCAGGGAATCGGTTCTGTACCGCACGCGGGGAGATGGAAAGGCTGCAAGCGACGCATTGGACACCCCGACGACCCAGACACCCATACGGCCCTGACACATATCAAGCCATCTTAAAAAGAGAGACCAAACCTGGTACTCGTATTCTCGCATTTGCTGGTTGCCCATGGATTGGACTCGTGAGCAGGCCACTACACTGGCTAGCTAGCTAGCTAGCAAGGTGCAACATTCTACAAGAAGGCTAGCTAGCGAGAGAAACAAGCTGACCAGTAGAATGATTCAATCGTCCAGGACATGATTAACATTTCAGTTTGTGGCCACTGCAGCCTTTCCATTCACCCCCATCCCAAACTAGAACACCTCCTACGGTGACATCGGCCTCACCATCTCACCATCCCAAGTTGCGACGGAAGGGTGCGGAGGTGGAGTGTGGGTGTGGCACCAAGGAGGTCCCCAACTCGAGCGAAGAATTTCAGGAAGTTTATCCGATGGTTCGGCACCGAGCGAGATCTTGCTGGCTTTTTGTGGACAAAACAGGAGGCACTCCGGACAAGAAAGTGGGTCATTCTGACTAGGCAATTTCTTTCGTGTTGACCCAGATTTTTCAAATGTTAAAGCTTTTTGGCTAAACGACTTACGCAAGTTTGAACACTGGATTTTTAGGCCCCACTTTTGATGAAAAGTATCAAACCGTCTGATCAACAACGAACGAAGTAGACTAGTGGTAGAGCTTTGGTATTTGGTAGAGTATTAGTAGAGCTAATAGTAGTGAAAATTGAATTTCTTGAAGTGCTCCACAGACATGCTAGGAAGCTAACCAGACATAGATGGATAGCTGATGGATCATAAATAGCCAGAAGGTGGCAGATATTCCCCACCAAGTGAGTGCGCAAAGACTCAGTGCCCATCTCCAGTTGCGACTCAGCTGGCCTAAGTGTTCCGCTGAGAAGTAGTCAGTGTGATACTTGAGTACCGGTGTATCCTTACTCAACAGCAGCCAGCACCAGCACTATTTTGATGACTTATGTTCGAACCCAACAAGCCTTTGCCCCGACATGACCTGACATGGAGGACGGGCCAGTCAGTTCAAGCTGTTCAGTTTTTATTTCGGACCTCGATTTCGAAGCGAGCAAAACAAAAACTTGTTCTCACAATTCAACAAAACCAATCTCTTTGATCAACTACCAAACCGAGAAGATGTCCATGCTCCCTTTCCATCTCCAAAACACCATGCTCCCCGAAAACTACCAGTTGGGGCCCAACGATGTCATCATTGGCCGTGGGAAGAAGGTAACTCAAAACCCTGGCAATCAACGCTTTCGCTTGATTATCCAGACCACTTTGGAGTCCTACTCCAACGCAGAGACGAAAGTGAAGAAATCTGAAATCATCATGGAAGTATTGTCCCAAGTGCGTGAGGGCAATGGTGCCGGATTCGTGAAGCATCACGCTGGTAGTGGGTGTTACCTTCAGGTCGAAGAGGCTTCCTGTCGCATTGCAATTGCGCAAGCCTTCCGCGATGCTCTCAGCGGGACCTACAAGTCTAGCAAGAAGCACAAGCAAATCCGCCGCCTTGAGAGGAAGAGGGCCAGTGAGACCGAGCAGAGCATGGCTTTGGCATCCATGCAACTCCAGGAACTTTTCAACCACGAGCCTCAACAGGAACCCGCTTCTCTGCCTACGCTGGAGACTCAAGCTGCAGCTCTGAGTCTTCGCAACAAACCAGAAGCTCGAAACGCTGTGCCTGTTTTTCAGCTGAGAGGCATCCTTCAAGAAGCGTCGAACGTGCCACCTCTTGCGATGAACCCCGAGCCGTTGCAATTCAATTTGGCACCTCCGACTATTGCAAGGCGCCCCACTTTGAACCTGACAGATACCGAGCCGTTGCCCCTAAACGTGTCATTCGGATCGACCATGAGAGCCGCCCCCACTTTGAATTTTGCGGCCAACGATTTGTTTTCCTCCCTCTGCAGGAGCCTTGGTGTCAACCAACCTTCCAGCTTCCCAGACCCATTCGAGCCCACTCCTCTTTCCAACCAGCAGGCAAGCATTCCTTCTTACAGCCACTATGCTCCTCGGGCTGCTTAATCGCAGCGAGGACCAAACAGACAAATCTTCCATCAGAACAGCAAATCCAACGTTCCTTCGTCAGCATACCTTCACATCTTCGACGTTCCCTCTGCCGTGCCAGCACCATTCCGACAATTGGAGTATCATAATTTTAAAAACCTAACGTGTTTACATTAGTTACTACCCACACTTTTACTGAGCAATTAAAAACTTGCGTGGATGCTTGCTGGCCATAATAACGACCATTCAGTTCGTTCTGTGACTGGACTTGCTCGAGTGTGCTTTGCAACTCCCACAGCACGTTCTGGGATCTGAAGCGAACGGCGCACCGAGGTACACGCGGTCGACGGTGGGTTAGAACACATGTAGGTAGATTATACGGAAATAGCTGCTTTGCACTACCGGTATACCGGTATCGGTACCGGTACAGCAAAGCAGCAGGGCCTTGTTTCACAACAGCACCTCTTGTTTAAATCATGGTTGCCAACCAACAAGCCTGAAACATTTTATCAAATGGAACAAATACAGGGAGCGGACTTTGGTATGCAATCTGCTTCCCGCTGGGCTTCTAGGTCCTCGGCACGCATATGCAAGATGGACGCAAGGTCGCTGACTGTCTATTGAAAGGAGTGGTCAAGTCCTTGGGCCCACAATATCAAAAGTTGAAGACCACAAAACAACACCAAAAACCAAAAACGAAAAGAAAACTAGAATTGCCCAAAAATCTCAGCAACAAAGAAACCGTCATATCCAAACCAACCAACCATGAAGATCCGAATGGCACTTACCCTTATCTTGGTCGCTGCAGCTGCCATAATTCCTGCTATTTCTGCCTCACCTGCGCTTCGAGGACATGATGAGCCTGAGCAGTCTGATCGCCACCTGACCAGCAGCTTTTGTTGGAGAGATACAAAGACTCGTGGTGCTGGCACCATCCCCACTAGTTGCAAAGGAAACAAAGATGTGATTGGTTCACTTTGCTACTCAAAGTTGCCCCAAAGGGTTTCGTAATGATGGACTCCTTTGCAGGAAAGCTGAACATGGTCGGGGCGCAGGATATCCGGATATCCACGGAAGTTTGGTGATGGCTTCAATAACCACAAACAGTACAAAGCGCTGCGAGAGAAAGCATGGAAAGGGCAGTTGTGAGAAGTGGGGAGCAGTTGTCTACCCCAAATGTAAAAACGGATACAAAGCAGTTGGTTGCTGTATCTGCCGCCCTGCCCATAAACCAAACTGTGACAAACTGGGCTTCAATGGTGGAGTGGATCTCTCTTGTGCCAAGAACATCAAAATTGGCAACCCTGCCATCAAGACACAATGCCCCAAAGGAAAAGAGTACAGTGCCGGGATGTGCTATAAACATTGCAAAAATGGTTTCAAGGGAGTCGGGCCAGTGTGTTGGAGTCAGTCCCTGAAGGGTGGGTTGATTGTGGTGCAGGTTCAGCAGCAACAGTAGCAGATTGTGTCAGTTCCATTAATGGTCAAGTCACTTCTGTTGCAGAGCTTGCCATTAACGTTGCTGAATTGGCCTTTGGAGCAGAATTGGAGGAAGCTGCTGCTTCTGTGGCTGAAGAAGTGGCAGATTTGGAGAAGTTCAAGGACCTTGTTTCTGGCTTACAACTTCTTCTTGAGAAGCAACCCCAGATTCAGGAGTTGATTGAGAGTGGGAAAACAGCTCTGTCTCCAGAAGACCTTGCCGAGCTCAGTGGAATCACCACCCCTGAAGATGCCCTCCGTGAGACAGCAAAGATTCTGGCTCTCTTTGATCCCACAGGAATTGCTGGTGTGGTTTCCTCGTACTCATACCCAACATGCAGCAGCAACAATTAATTGAAAATGGATCTGATAGGCCTCCAAGGTCAATTTGTACCAGAGCGGCGTTGAGCGCAGCATTTTAGTTGATCAATTGTAGTTGGATCCGGTGTGGTGGATGGCAGTGGATGCTTTATAGGAGGATACACAGATACCATTAAAATAGTCACAGTACTTGTCAAATGCACAGTTGAATTCAATGACATGCAAAGCCAACGATCTCAGTGCCACCAGTTGAAATATCTGGGTCTCAGCAACAATTTGTACACTCGAGTTGTGCCCACGGAGCTTGGCCTGCTATTGGGGCTGGTGGACTTTGACATTTCTAATATTGTTGGCATTCAAGGCTCCCTGCCAACAGAACTTGCCACTTTGGAAGCCTTGGTCCACTTGGATGTATCTGGCACACACATCACGGGGAAAAATTCCGACGGAAATCTGTTCTAGAAACACCAGCAAGGTTCTTGCCATTGTTGATAACTGTAGCCAACTGCAGTGTCGTACATAAAGGCCGCAAGGCAAACAACTTGGATTTCGCGCACCTCAGCAGCCGCTAAGACGACAATGCCGTTACTACTGTCTGTACCGTATATACTGGTACTGGTACTGGTACTGGTACTGGTACTGTTGAGGTTACCGGTAGATCAGAGCGCCCATCCTAATCCAATAGTCTAACCAAAAACTAGATAGATAGCTAGCTAGCTAGCTAGACTTATCTGGCCTGCAGCCGACCTTTGCGTGGTGGGCCGTTGCTGCCTGTAGTCCAGTCCTTATTTCCAGTTCCGCCATACCGGTACCTTCAACAGCTTGTAGGCTTACCTGTCCATGATGACGAACCCGATGAACGAGCGATGGGGCACTAAAAGTGCGAAGGTGCCCTCTTTCTCTCTTACAGGAACACTGACATACGCACCGGTGAGTGGTGAGCGGTTGCGACGTTGCGACCTTGGGACTTTGAACACTTACAGCTTACAGTAGTAGTCACTAGTCTACATGTATTTAATAAATAATGTCAGTACAATTCTGTGGAGTTGCAGTTTGCAGGTTCGGAGTAAATATCATGACCGCAGCTCGTTTTTTAAAGCTTAAAGGGCTGTTCTACTAGTAGTAACACATCTGAGACATTTGTCATTAATCGAAGATGAGAACCCAATCACGAAACACGGGAATCCTCAAGCCATCATTATTTAATCTTTTGGCCTTTCGAGTTTGGGGTTCTCGATTCAGGGCTTGTCGCCATCGTGTTACGTTCCGCAGTGTCTTTTGCGTCCACAACTATTACAGTAGTCGAGGGTATCTCAGCTGTGCTACTATTATCACAGCCATTTGCTGAGTTTGCGAATACATGTAAAAGAGCTTGTAAAAGACAGGCTTCTCAGTCCATCAATCTATTGTCGCACAAAACCAGCTTTCCAACGAAAGTGTAAGTTAGTGCAATGAGCCAACCATCCGAGCCCTCAAAAGACCCTCCAGTGGCTTCAATCCCTGGATCGTCGTCGGCTTTGGTTCCTTCAAATATGGATGCGGCATCCTCGAAGGGATCAAGGGTTGTCCCTGTCCCCAAGACTGTCACAAGGGCCGAAATGGCATTGTCAGAGAAAGGGGTGTTGGCTTCCACCGCGGCTGGCATCGTTTTGGAAGATGAAGTGCCGGCGTCACGTGCAGTCCATGGATTCGAAGAGACTCTTCCTGAAACGAAGAATTCAGCTGTGAACGGCCCTAGCAGTCAAAACACCAAGGACCGTTTCCACAGTAAGAAGGAGGCCAATGAAGCTGCTGTTATCAAAAAACCTGCTTCCAGTCAACACCAAGAATCCATCCCGGCCCCTCCTGAATTGCAAAGTTCTACAGCCTTGAGCATAGAATCTCAACCCGGTGCCTTTCGAGTTGATGGTCATTTGGGAGAGAGAAGCGAGTTTTGTCAAGAGGAGAGCGGCTCTGATGAATCGGAAAGCAATGAAGTACTTGAAATGAACACTGTTGAAGAATGTGGTGCGGCCAACGATTGCCCCCTCTCCATTGAGGCAAGTGTGGTTGATGACGAATATTATGAGGATGCCATGGTTGATCATCAACATCAAGTCCTGGAAGAGGCAACCAACGTCAAACCATTTCCTCCGACAGCACCCAGGAGAACGTCTAGACTACCTTTTGTTGCTGTTCTTTTGCTGGTATTGGTGGCCGCTTTGCTAGCAATTGTGCTGATACCAACCCTTTCACAAGATGATAGCAAAGAGACTGATGAGATACCTAGTCAAGAAGGACAACCTGCAGAGATTCCGTTGGATGAGGAAATCACTGCCACATACCCACCCTTTGATAACAGCAGCACTCTTCATCACATTACACTCACTGACATCCTCGAAAAGCCTGACAGCCCAAGGTCAAAAGCTAACACATGGATGTGGAATGACCCACTCCTCGAGTCATATCCAAGTTGGCGTCAACACCAAAGGTTTGCCATGGCTGTGATTTACTTCTCCACAGAAGGTGACCACTGGCTTCAGAACGATGATTGGTTGTCCTATGAGGTGCCAGAGTGTGAGTGGTTCTCACAAAGCCAAACTCCCTGTGATGAACAAGGAAGGCTCATTATTCAAGACTACAAATACAACAATGTGGGGGGAACTCTGCCCTTGGAATGCCAACTTCAATGGACAAAGATTGTTGACTACTCTCACAACAACATATATGGTCTACCCCAGCTGACTGACACCAATCGCTTTGAAGAATTCATTGTCTCCAACAACAGAATCGAACCATATACTGTTGTGGCTGACTCTGGGCTCGATGGAGATTACAGAAAAGTTGTCAAGATTGATTCCAACAACATTGAATTCAAAAACATGGGGCTATTGCGCCCATTTCCAAATTTGGAAGTGTTGAACCTCACCAAGAATGTGATTGCCAGCACACTGCCAACAGAAGTACAGCTCACACCTAAGCTGACATACTTGGGAATAGGTGACAATCTTTGCACGGGGACCATACCAACAGAGTTTGGCTTGCTTCCTGCACTAACTGGCTTGGATATTTCGGATAACCTTGCTCTTCACGGAACACTTCCGACAGAGCTAGGGCTGCTCTCTTCCCTTGTTGACTTGGATATTTCCAACAATGTGGCTTTGAATGGAACCCTTCCAGAAGAGTTTAGTGCATTGGAGAATCTGATTCATTTGGATATCTCTGGGACATCAATTACTGGCATGATCCCCATGGAGTTGTGCTCCCGAAACAGCAGTGGTACCCTTTTGTTGATTGCAAACTGCAGTCGGCTTGAATGTTGCTAGCTTGCAGCGAGGTGACACAAAAAGGGCTTCCTTGGAAATAAGATAGGTTTTTTAGAGATAAACTAGCTACAGTAGAGGAAAGGGTTCAAATAGAATTGAATTGGATTTAATCATACATGTATGGCTAAGAAGAGGAGCCTTCTCTACTAGCTAGCCAGCCAGTCACTGGAATCTCAGGTATTGCTGAGAGTGGCTTAGGATAAAGCCGTTTAGTCAACAAGCCAGATCTGAAGTGGAACTCTCGCGTCTATCTAACTCCCAAACAAGGCCCTTCCCGAGGAGCTACAGGAACCGCCATGCCAGTCTTGCCCGACTAGTATACCTATGGAAGCCGTCCATGACACAGTTTTATTCTCGTCGAAGTCTCGTAGTAGACTCCTAGCTAGCTCTACGAGAAAGTTAAAGTAAACGAGAGCACAGCTTTTGCTTGAGCTGGACTCTTCGGATATGGCAGAAGAGGGGGTTGCTCGAGAACCAATCACCTCGAGCCTCAAACTCTACTTCTAGTCGATAGCTAGCCCTAGCTACTAGACCTCAAGTATGAAACAGCTTGGGCTGCAAGCCAAACAAGAGCTACAAGAGTAAGCAAAACTCTAAATACCACTAAAACTTCCATGGCTTCATGGCTTGCATGAGCATTGTAGATTGTAGACATCAGACCGAGGGCAGGGCCCACCGTTCCCGGTGGTGCTACCAGGTACCGTACGGTACCGGTCCGGTACCGGTCCGGTACCAGCCCTTCGACCTTTCGACCTAGCTAGCTAGCTAGCTAGAGCTAGCTAGAGCTAGCTGTACTACGTAATCAATCATGCACATAGTACGAATGTCTCGGGCATGTACGACTGTACGATGATGAGAAGCCAATGGCGAATGCGACAATGCGACTTCGAATCGAATCCTCTTGAAAAGCTCCAATTAATTAAAGCTCCCAATAATTAATTAGGGGTAGTTTGTCTTTTGCTGTCGATTTGAGGCCTTATGAGTTGGATGCTGGATTTGCAGCAGCCTTCGGTTTTGACGTTATTTATCAAAAGAGCAAAAGTGAGAATACTACTACAAGCTAGCCACTGGTACCAAGTAAATAATTTTACTGGGATTGACAGAGTCACCGCGTTACGCCACAGTTCTGCTACTAGTACGCCACAGTTCTGCTGCCTGGTGCAAATCGCTACCAAAAATCAAACCTCCCAAACGAACTTGAAAGGACAAGTAAAGTCCAAGGATGAGCAAACGATCCTTGCCCTCGAAAGACCCTCAAGTGGCCTCACTCCCTGGATCGGCGTCGGCTTTGGTCCCTGTCCCCAAGACTGTCACGAGGGCCAAAATGGAATTGTCGGACAAAGGGGTGTTGGCTTCCACAACCGTGGCCGGCATGTTCGTGGAAGCTGAGTTGACGGCAGTCCATGTATTTGAAGAGACTATTGATGAACAGAAGCAATTGTCTGTGAACGGCCCTGCTAGTAGTCAAAACACCACGGACCATTGCCACAGTATGAAAGAGGTGAAGAAACGAGCAGCCAATGAACCTGCTGATATCGAAAAATCTGCTTCCACTCACAGAGAATCAATCCCAGCTCCTCCTGAATTGCGAAGTTCTATAGCCATGAGCATAGAATCTCAACCAGGTGCCTTTCCAGTTGCTGGTTTTTTGGGAGAGAGTGGTGAGTTTTGTCAAGAGGAGAGCGGCTCTGATGACTCGGAAAGCAATGAAGTACTGGAAAGGAACACAGTTGCAGAATATGGTGCGGCCAACGATTATCCCCTCTCCATTGAGGCAAGTGTGGTTGATGACGAAGATTATGAGGATGCGACGATTGATCATCATCATCATCAAGTCCTGGAAGAGGCAACCAACGTCAAACCACTTCCTCCAGCAGCACCCAGGAGAACATCGAGACTACCTTTTGTTGTTGTTCTTTTGTTGGTATTGTTGGCCGCTTTGCTATCAATTGTGCTTGTTCCAATTCGGTCACAAGAAAATCAAAAGGATACTTATGCATCCCCCACAATTGCAGGACAGCCTGCAGAGATTGCTATCGACGATGAAATCACCGCCAAATACCCGCCCTTTGACAACCACACGGGGGGGCTCCATCACAAGACACGCACTGACATCCTTGACAATCCTGGGAGCCCTCAGTCTAAAGCCAACACATGGATGTGGAATGACCCACTCTTTGAGTCATATCCAAGTTGGCGCCAACACCAAAGGTTTGCCATGGCTGTCATTTACTACTCCACAGGAGGAGACAACTGGCTTCAGAAGGATCATTGGCTGTCCTCTGATGTACCAGAATGTGAGTGGTTCTCACAAAGTCCAACACCATGTGATGAAGAAGGAAGACTCATTATTCAAGACTACAAATACAACAATTTGGGGGGCACCATACCATTGGAATTCCAGCTTGCATCAACAAAAATTGTTGACTACTCTCACAACAATATCTCGGGTTATCTGCCGCAGCTCACCGACAACAATCACTTTGAAGAATTCATTGTCTCCAACAACAGAATCAAACCCTATCCTGTTGTAGCTGACTCTAGTTTCAAAGGAGACTACAGAAAAGTCATCAGAATTGATTCCAACAATATTGAATTCAAAAGCATAGGACTATTGCGTGCATTTCCAAATTTGGAAATTTTGAACATGACCAAGAATGTGATTGCCAGCACACTGCCAACAGAAGTACAGTTCACGCCTAAGCTGACATACTTGGGAATAGGCGACAATCTCTTTGTGGGGACTGTGCCCACAGAGCTTGGTTTGCTTCCTGCGCTGAGTGGCTTGGACATTTCGGACAACCTTGCTCTTCACGGAACACTTCCCACAGAGCTAGGGCTGCTCTCTTCCCTTGTTGACTTGGATATTTCCAACAATGAGGCTTTGAATGGCACTCTTCCAGAAGAGCTTAGTGCGTTGGAGAATCTGGTTCGTTTGGATATTTCTGGGACATCGATTACTGGTATGGTCCCCATGGAGTTGTGCTCGAGAAACAACAGTGGTGTTCTTTCGTTGATTGCCAACTGCAGTCAGCTGGATTGTTGCCAATAGCTAGCACCCTTGCTAGTGGTGTGGACCAGGAATCAGAGCGGCAAAACAAAGTGACAGTATTGTGGTTAGCCTTGGGCTTATGACTGGCCCTTCAAGTGGATTAGCAAGTTATTCATTCTGACGTGCTTGTATCACAAGTTGGATTCCGCAGCAGGAATGTTGACATGCTAGCTAGCTAGGTGGGACCCAATCAAACAGGAAACTGAGCTGGTAGAAGCTGTAGCGAATCGGATCTATCCAACGCCAGCACAATCCAGCCCACAAGGACCCTACCACTTGTTTACAGCCGCATCCTTTCAGATTTTTCTCAGAGGAGTACGGTAGTAGAGCTCCGGATCCGCTCGTTTGATCAAGATATCGATGTTGTGTGCAACGTGCAACCCTTCTTTATAAAGAGAAAGGTTGTCAGTGCATGGTTGCAGTTGTCAGTTTTAGACGGTAGCTGCGACGGTACGGTAGCTGGGCATGTAGTGGGTAGTGGGTCATCGTCATCGGCTTTGGTCGTCATTCTTATTTAACAGGCTGTTTCCGCGGTCACTAGGTGGCAATACAGCAGTTAAATGTAGAGTTTCGAAAGCATTTTTGGAGGCTTATCAACGCAGACACACGCAGCTCACACGCTCAGCTTGCTCATCCTCACTGCTTCGAGAGGGCCAGAGTCCTCTCACCTCTCACAACCTTTACTACTCAAAATTATTAAGGGGGGGTTTAGAGTAGGACGGCCCACGACGGCCACCATGATAGGGACTTCTTCCACAAGTCCAAGATGAGTGACTCCTCCGCCGCTCCCTCCACCATGAAAGACCCTCCAGCGGCTTCACTCCCTGCGACTAGTAGCAGATCAGAGGTGGCTTCTTTGCCATCAGCAGCAACACAGGGATGGGGGAATGTGCCCTTGCCAATTCTGAGAGCCGAAGCAAATCTCTCCGAAAAGCAGATTTTGACTGCTGTGGACGACAATACCAATACAAGCAAAGATGAACCTGCTGTAATAAGAGAATCGGTCCGCCTCTTTGAGGAGACTCTTTATGCAGACAAAAACTCCAAGACTGAGAAAGCAGCCGACAATATCGACGGGTCGGCGTCCAGTCGGCACGGATCGCTGTCCAGTCAACACCAAGATCCAATCCCCGGTCCTCCCGAATTTCGAAGTGCTGCTCGCATTGCGGTAGAATCCCGGCCAGGTGCCTTTCCAGTGGCTGGCATTTCAGCAACAAGTGATGACTTGCTTAGTGGCGGCGAAGAAAATGGCTCTGACCAAAACATACATGAACGCACAGAAGCGCAGGAATGGTTGGAATTCAACACTGCCAACGATTTCTACAACGATGAATACCCCACGGAATACCCAATTGAGGCAAGTGTGGTTGACGAAAATGACTATGAGGATGCCAGTGTTCATCGTCCACAAGTCCTGGAAGAGGCAACCAACGTCAAACCACTTCCTCCTACTAGACCCAAAAAAGAGAGATCATCAAAGGTTGGTGTCTTTGTCATATTTCTCTTGCTATTTGTGGGGATATTGGTAGCGATTGTGCTGATATCAACCCTTTCACAAGATCATGACAAAGCGTCTGATGAGATCCCTAGTCAAGAAGGACAGCCTGCAGAGATTCCTATGGAAGAGGAAATCACTGCCACATACCCACCCTTTGACAACGGCACCCTTCCTCTCAGCACACAAACGGACATCCTTGACAATCCTGGGAGCCCAAGGTACAAAGCTAACACATGGATGTGGGAAGACCCACTCTTTGAGTCGTATCTAAGTTGGCGCCAACACCAAAGGTTTGCCATGGCTGTGATTTATTTCTCCACAGAGGGTGACAACTGGCTTCGGAAAGATGATTGGTTGTCCTATGAGGTGCCAGAGTGCCAATGGTTCTCTCAGAGTGATAGTCCAACAGTCTGTGATGAAGACGGAAGACTGGTTATTCAAGACTACAAATACAACAATTTGGGTGGCACTCTGCCCTTTGAATTCCAGCTTGCATCAACAAAGATTGCTGACTACTCCAACAACAATATCTCGGGTTATCTGCCGCAGCTGACTGATACTAATCGCTTGGAAGAATTCATTGTCTCCAACAACAGAATCAGACCATATGCTGTTGTGGCAGACTCTGGCCTTATTGGAGAATACCGAAAAGTCATCAAGATTGATTCCAACAACATTGAATTCAAAAACATGGGACTATTGAGTGTGTTTCCAAGTTTGGAAGTTTTGAACATGACCAAGAATGTGATTGCCAGCACATTGCCCATGGAAGTACAGCTCACACCAAACCTCACCTATTTGGGAATAGGTGACAATCTTTGTGTGGGGACTGTGCCCACGGAGCTTGGTTTGCTTCCTGCACTGACTGGATTGGACATTTCGGACAACCTTGATCTTCAAGGAACTCTTCCCACAGAACTTGGGCTACTGTATTCCCTTGTTGACTTGGATGTTTCCAACAATGAGGCTTTGAATGGAACTCTTCCAGAAGAGCTTAGTGCATTGGAGAATCTGGTTCATTTGGATATTTCTGGGACATCGATTACTGGCATGGTCCCCATGGAGTTGTGCTCGAGAAACAACAGTGGTGTTCTTTCGTTGATTGCCAACTGCAGTCAGCTGGAGTGCTGCTAAATAGCTTACTTGCTGCATATTGGATGTGCAGCCAGTACTAGTTTGGTGGCATACTGGTAGGTAGCAGTATCACTTTTTGAATAAATATTCATGCAGGAAGATTCATTCTATCCCAACCGAGCTAGTCTACTAGTGATGGATCGAGTAACCTTTTCCATGGTTTTGATAGTCTGCTTCGCAGGTGGTTTTGCTTTAAACTCGCGACGAGTACTCTAGCTAGCTAGCTAGCTAGGCAGCCAGGGTAGCTGCTAGCTAGTAGAGAGGCTGAGGACGGCTCCTAATAGCCCGTGCCAAGTTGTGCAACCGTTGTGGTTCGAGATAACTTCAGCTGGTCCGAGCTCACCTGGCATCGCGGCTTTGCAAACCTTCAGCGACCAAAAAGAGCCTTACTTACTTCCCCCCATTGCCGTAAGAAGCTTGACTTAGGGACACCAAGTCTCAGATGACCATTCTGTGAGGTTCTTTTTGGTTCACTTCACCAAATTCGTCAAATGAGCTAGGGTCATTTTACCAAAATATACCATGGGTCATCATTGCCACCAAGCAAACAAGCAAACTGGTACCAAAAAGAAGACCGGTACCCGACTCAAAGGCGAACATGATCTCCTCCCAAGGACATCATCAATCCATTATTCGCAGCAGCAATAGCAATACAACAGAGCAAGAGCAAGAGACTTGGAGAGCGAGAGCATGAAGAGCACCAGTGCTACTAGTCCTGATACCGTCGGTAACTCGTTGAGAAGGGGAGGGTCGATGGGTAGCATCCGAAGAAGCAGAAGGAGAGGCATGGGTAGCATGGGTAGCATCCATATGGGAATGTTTCTACTGGTAGTAACCCTCCTTCTAGGCATACATGTGGTGCCATGTACCGGAATTTGGTTCACGAACGAGTTTAATGAAAAAGCTGGGCCTTGTCTTTCCGATTCCAATGTTATTGGATACAAGCATATCTATGACGTCATGTCAGATCTCGAATACGAACAGATTCGGCTGGAAGCAGGAGAAGCTTCCCGTGCCCCGTATGTGATTCCACTGTGTCCCCGGATGAGGTACCTCATGGAGGAACAAGCCTTGGAAATCATCTTGAATGAGGACATTACAGTGGCGTGTGGCGAGTTGGGACAAAGCAGCGATCAATGCGTACTGGAAGGAGGAAGTGGGGATTATCAGCTCTTTATCCCTCCCACGTATAGCCGGAATGTCTATGTGCAGGGAATCACATTCTCCCAGTTTCCACACTCTGCCATTGTGGCCCGAGGAGATAGCGATGCCGTACTCTATATGAAGGACACGGTCTTTACCAACGGAACGTCCGTCGGCAGTGATATAGTGGATCTAGCACCTCCCAATGACACCGCCTTGGCTGCCATGTCGATCGCTGCCACTCGAACCACCGTTCAAAACCATTTCGGTACTCCACCCGGAATATTCTCCAATCGACAGGGATCGCTCTATCTGGAGGATTTGACGCTGGGAGACAAGGGAGATAGTGTCGTTTGCGACGATCATATCGTGTACACCGAACGAGCCAACGGGTACGGATCCCTCAATTTTCGAGGCACATTGGAAGCCACGGGTCAAACGGGCAACTTTGGCAACTACGCACCTCGCATCTTTGTGATACGAGGAACCGATGGGGTGGAACCGGGCACGCACTATTTTACCGATATGAACGTCGTGGCCAATCAGCAACTCCAATTTGAAGTCTTTCTTGAAATCCGCGGCGACAAGGAACAGGCGATTTGGACAAATGTCACCGTCAGCAACATTACCATGCAAGCCGATGGAGTTTTGGTGCATGCCATGAATCAGAGCATGGTGTCAATTAGTGGGGGTCCTTCTTCTTCTGGAGGGCTCACTGTGGAGGATTCGGTCAATATGGGGGTACGTATCGTACGGTACGGTGCTTGCGGATGTGTGAATTGGCTGTTGCGTCGCTCACAGCACGTATTCCACATGCACGCATGCATGCATCACTTACTATTGTTTATGATATTAGACCATCTTGCAAGCCAGCTCGTTGGCAACCGTGAAGGCTTCCGATGTGCAAGTCCGGAGAACGACCGCCAAACCCGTAAGTTCGGTCACCGTCATTCTATTTTTGGGGAGGGAGGGAGGATCATTGTGTCGGCACCACGAACGCTCACCTCGTTTTTTCATATTCCAATAGGATCGAATCAGAGTCAGCAGCGTACTCATGGCATCGATCGGTGGGACAATCCTTGCAGAGAGATTCGATGTGTCGGATGTACGCGATTTCACGGTACGTTACGATCTCTTTGACAAATAGAAATGCTTGCAATGCTCCTTTTTCGGCAGCGAATTCTGTTCCTCTTGGTCTTGTGTATTCTCTCATATCAAGCATTCCGCTCCTTTCATCCAATTCGTTCATTCTTACTTACTTACTTACGCTAGTCCATCTATATGGCCGAATGCGGAAGTGTGCTCCAAGTGCTATCCGCTTGTTTGAGTCAGGCAACGGTAGAGTATATCGGATTCCTAGATGCGGAGTCCTTCCCTGTCATGGTGGAGAATTACGTGGAAACAGGCTCCATCAGCGGGCTTGTCCAATGCGCCGAGGAGCCGTCTCTCTCGATATTTAAACCGGATCCCGGTTCTGTATGCTTAGGAAGCACGGTACCATGCACGGGCACTTGCTTGCCCACATTCCGGGAAACGACAACTTGCCAACCTCACGACGCTAGCCTTGGCTTGGAGTTTGAAGCAACCGATTCCTTTGACGTACGGGATTGTTCCGCTTCTTCCGCGGAACAAGAGGACAAGATTTTGCGTTTCAACCTTCGATTCTCGATCTTTTCAGACACTGATTTTTTTGAGCTCTTTAAGGATGATATTGATGGAGTAATCTGTCAAACACAATACTGGCTCAGTCAATTGATGCAGAATGCTACCGGTAGCAAGAGTGTCTACGTCCAGGCTACGGAGATAGATTGGGGCCACTACAAAGAAGCAGACGAACCGTTACACCTGAACTTTACAGCACAGCTCGAAGATGCCGCAAGTGAAACTGATGATGTCGACTGGCTGGATTCTCAACAAATCCTCAATGAAGTGGAACGTTTGGGGGAAGAGGGATGGAAACGGTACTTGGTGGATTATGTGTGGAAAGCTGAGCCACTTGGTCAAAATGTTTTCGCAAATGCCAATCAAGTGTTTTATGATCTCTTAATGCGAGAGCCCGTGCAGGGCACGCTCGAAGAAGCTGAATGTCCGGCAACTGTTGCCCCAACTGCAGCTCCTTCCAGCAGTTCGTCAGCTGATTCCAGCAGCTTGGACCCATCATTGACGTCGGTGGTGGACGCGGTCGCATTGTATGCAGAAGCAGAAACGATGCTTGAAAAGCTAGTCTTGTCAGGCGTGGACTCTCAACTCCGTACGGCTGGACCGTTCACGCTTTTGGTGCCAACAAATGAAGCCTTTGAGAAAGCATATCGACCAGAATTGGACACGGAAGAGTACAAGCATCATTTGGTAGACTTACTGGGGTATCACGTGGTGGAAGGTCTTTATGTATCCAGTTTCATCACCGAGGATATGAAAGCGCTAACGATAAACGGTGAAAGTATCAATGTTACAAGCATCGATCCTACAATGATCAATGGTGAGGCCACCGTCATTGCTGCGGATGTGCTCGCGGACAACGGTGTTGCGCATATGATTGATGAATTGCTGCTTCCAAGGAGTTTCACCATGGATATGATCAGTGCTGTTACCATGCACCCTGACCTCACAATCTTGCTGGAGTTGTTGATACCTGACTTGGTGGAGACACTTCAGGGAACTGGTCCATTTACGTTGTTCGCACCCACCGACGCCGCCTTCAGGAGCTTGAACCCGGATGTATTGATGCTTTTGCAAACTGATGAAGCTTTGAGGGAGGACGTCAATGCGCTTTTGAGTCATCATGTGGCAAATGGCATCTGGGTCGCGGGAGAGCTCCAAATTGAATCAGAGTTGCAAATGCTCTCGGGCAACACTACCATGATCAGCAACAATCCGTCTTTGATGATTGGTTCGGCGCAACTGCGAGATACAGATATTCTTGTCACCAACGGTGTGATTCACATCATCGACTCTGTCCTGCTCATGGGGAATGCCACGGGTAGTAACTCCACAGGCGAAGACGACGACGACTCGATTGGCGGGCCTGGCGGCAACATCAATAGCAGCAGTCCCGATTGGCCCTTTGGTCCCAATTACATGGATCTTTCTGAATTGGATCCCATGTCAGATTACAATCTCAGTTTTTCTCTGTTTTCGGGGAAAGAAAGTCCAGCCAGTTGGGCCGATGTCAATGCCTTGATGTGTCAAGTCAACAGCTTCTACACTTTCCATTTGCGTCGAATGCTCAATGATGCAACCATCTTCGTGAAGGCCGTTTTCATTGATTTCTACTTCAACGACGATGGTGCCGGTTCGGACGTGGAAGATATTGTTGTCACCTTCACTGCCTTTGCGTATTTTGGTGATGAAGAGCACACACAAGTCGACGCTGATGATGTTTTCCAAGCGATGAAACTTTCTGCAGATGATCTCCAGAATTTTCGTGAAGAATTCATCTGGAAGAGTGAACCCGAGCAAGAAAACATCTTTTATCATACCGAATCTCTTGCCATAGAGGCAGGTGTTAACAACCCAATCAACGACAATGCAATGCTCGTTGAAGCCAGTGGGTGTATCTTGCCACCTGAAGACGAGGGTGCCATTTTGTCACCGAATGGTCCTGCTGTTCCGGATGGCGGTTTGGGCGGGGACGCTAAATCGACGAATATCGCTGTAGCCTTTCGAGTGTCCAACGTCGAAAACATCAAAACGTCGGACGATATCAAGGCAGCGGGATTGGAAGATTCCTTCCCTGTCTTTGTCAGTGAACTTGTCAATGATATGACCGCTGGAAGTAGCGCCCTTCGTGGCGGTCGAAGTTTGCGGGTGGTGCCCATCCCCGGAACGGCAACTATTGAGAGGGTGTTAGAATTTGATTGTCCGGCGAACGTTTTGCCGGGTCTCACCTGCCATGAAGTCTTGGCCGCTTATGACCTGCTCATGAGCAGTGACGAAGACGAGAATACTGTCAACAATGAATATACTGATGCTACCAATCTAGCTGTCTATGATGGAACTTACAACAATGTCTTGCAGCGTGTCAATCCTGACACGCCTCTCTACATCGGAATCATGACCAGTGAAGATCAGATCCCTCCCGGGTCAGACACAGCCCCGGGATCAGGCAACAATGAAACTGAAGCCAACGTCACTTCGGTGGTGGACATTTTGGCCGGAGAGGAAGACTTTTCTGCTTTGTTGGCAGCGATGGCTGCGACCGAACTTGATGTCTTTTTGGAAGAGATGGAAAACGTGACTCTGTTCGCACCACAAAACGCAGGGTTCGAGACCCTCGACATGCAACGCCTAACCAAACTTGAGTACCGGCCGCACCTGATTGATCTCCTCGGATACCACGTTCTGCCCAACGAGATACCCACAGATGACCTCGTCTTGTCCTTTTCCATGGTGGCTTTGAACGGGGAAACCGTCAATGTTACAAGTGTAAGCTCCAGAATGTTGTCGGAACTCGCGCGCCCTGATACTGGGGGTCAGGATGGGATAAAGTTGAACTACCGAGCGACAATTGTCCTTGCCGATTTGGAAGCTGAAAATGGCGTAGTTCATGGCCTTGACTCGGTGTTGTTGCCATTCAGCTATCGCTATGATGCCATGGGGGCAGCATTTGACTTGAATTACTTCTCCACACTCGCCACTCTTGTGTCAAACGCAGATTTGTTGGAAATGTTCCAGCAACCCGGACCTTTTACAATTTTTGCGCCTCGCAACGAAGCACTTTCTTCTTTGTCTTCTGATGAGTATGCCGAGCTGGATAGCAACCCCTCCGCACTGTTGGAGATGCTCAAAGGACACGTCTCTACTGGTGTGATCACCAGCCAGGACTTGTATGACGGGATGGTGATTACCATGATCAGTGGTGAGACGCACGAAGTGAAATTGTCGCCATCACCCATGATCGGTTCGGCGCAACTGCGAGAAACAGATATTCTTGTCACCAACGGTGTTATACACTCCATCGACAACCTGGCCAGATCGCCGACCTCCAGTGAAAGCGACGAAACCGAGCCTAGCGCAGACACTGTGTGGGACGTAATTGGAGGTGCCTCGAATCTACAATTGTTTCGGTCGGGGTTGGAGAGTACCAATGTTGACAAGCTGCTCCAACAAGATACTATGGACTTCACTGTTTTTGGTCCTCCTGACGAGGCAGTACAAAATGACGAAGCACTGAAATTTTACAGTGAGAATTTGAACAGTTGGATTGGCCACGCAACAGACATCTTTGAACACCATATCATGGTTGGCTTGGCACTCACCGAACGAGGCATTTGGGAAGATACTGTGTCTGAGATGTTTACCACGGTCACTGCCTCGTGTGCCTCATCGTTGCTCGTGAATCGCCGCACGCAGGAAATTGGTGGGCAAAGTATTGTTGTCGCAGACATGAGCGCAGCCAACGGGGTTGTGCATGAAATGAGCGGATTGTTGAATGTCGAATGGCGTCGAAAGTCGATCCTCCAGTTTTTGGAGGAGCCATATGTGACGTGTATGAGGACTCAGGGTTTTCTCTCCCGTTTCCGACGATTGCAGGATTCGTTCAGCTTTGACAACGTGATCCAGGCGCTGTCTTCTCCGTCCACTCAATTGGATCAATCTCTATCGGTGGGGTTTGCGCCGAATGGATCGACTTTTGTGGCACCGTCCGATGTTGCTTTTGTCGATTCCGGGGTCCCGGACGATGTCGACGATGTTCTCTTGTACCACCATGTGGTCGATTCCAATATCTACATGGAAGACCTTACGTCGTCATTTATGGGAGCGAGGAAGACAGCACATCCATTTGCAGATGTTTTGGTCACAGTGGACGAATGGTGGACTATGAGATACAATGATGTTGAGGTACAAGAGGAGTACCTCGCTCAAAATGGGTAAGTTGAAATGAAATCAAATGCAGAATTGCAAGTTTTTCATTTGGCGAGTGTGTCCTAGCATGGAGGCTTTGTCCAACTCACGCCTGCTGCTTGCTTGATACATCTCAGTGTCATTCATGTAATCAATCAGTTGTTGGTGCCACCCACCATGGTGGAGATGCTCAACTTCACTACAAATTTCACCGATCTCAAAGTGTCGTTCTTGGTTGATTGTTTCCAATCGTCAAGTTTCGATGCTGCTAATCTAGCGACGTCGCTCGGTTATGGCCCAGAACAGCGCTTCACGCTACTTGCTCCACTCGATGGAGCGTTTGATGCCTACTTCTGGGGGGGAGAGGAGAAAGAGCGATTCCTGTCGCCATTATGGTCTCGTCATGTAGATGCTGTCCTGCTGAACTTGCTGATTGCCCAACCATATACGAAGGAAGATTTGGACCGAGAATTAGCCTCAGAGTGGTCGTTCATCCTGGAGAGTTTGGGTGGCTCGATTCACACAGTCTACAACCGAACAAACATTGGCTGGGGTAAATCTCCAAACGAAGCACCAAGTGCACTAGACGGGTAAGGTGCTGCAACGAGGCGACCTTTCAACATGCACAGCAACTTTTCCCTCCCTCCTAACATCTTGCTTCCGCATTATTTTGTCTTGCAGGGTGATTCATTTTGTCGAAAGCCTTGAATTCCCCGCTTCTCTAACCAGCGATGCTGTAAGCTTGCTGTGGAATTTCAACAACACCTCAAGGTTCTCCGAGCTGGTCTTCTCGGGAGATCTGTATGACGCGATATCCAAAGTTGCCCCCCTGACTCTTTTGGCACCCACGGACGCAGCCTTTGATGGGCGTTACACATCGGCAGAAATTGTGAGTCTTCTTGAAAACCACATGTTCGAAGCCATGCTCTTCAAGGACCAGTTGAAACAAATGGATGGGGAGTACATAGTCTCCTTGAATGGGAAAAAATGGTGGATTGAAACTGATGGAGACTCGGTTTCTCTCAGAAGTGCTGACGGTCCAATTGTTGAACTTGGTGGTGGCGATCATCTATTCAGAACAGGAGTCATGCATTTCGTGGACTCTTTCATAGTGGAAGCTAGTGACCTGCCACCTACCGTTAGCCCAACAGAGAACCCATTGGGAGCATCTGGACAAAACTGCAGTGCGTGTGACGGTGACATTGTGACGACGAATTCGCTACCGGGTGGTGTGTCTTGTTCGTTCTGGGAATACGAAGTGTCGCAGCTTGACGCAGCTTCCGAAGAATGCCTCTTGGAACGTGCAGTCGGTTCTACTGCATGTGGATGCGTCTCTACGGGTTCAGAGGAGAAGTGCTCCCTTTGTGCAGATGGAGACATTGATTCCTCAAGAGTCCTTCCTGATGCTCACGGCTTGACTTGTGGATCGTTGCAAGGCATGGACGATGTGGATGGGGTCGCATGCGACATTCTGAAGGAAAAGTACGCTGCTTGGTGCGGATGCCCAGACTCCAAACCTCCACGATGCAGCTTTTGCCAGTCTGGAGAGCACACGGCACAACCGTTCCCAAGTATCACTGCGGTAACCATGAATTATCGATTGTTTGGTCATTTGGGAGCCCCAGACTGCGATGGCTTTGGAAACTTTTATTCAGTACAAACGGAGGATTCTTGTTCTGATATTGACAACGTCCTTTACCGCGATTTCCCCTTCGATATGAGGGCTTGGTGCCGATGCACCGGAGAGACAGCTCCAAAGGCGTGTGGAGAAGATTTTTGTCCTCCAGGAACGGAGTTGCAGGAATCCTTGGTACCCGGTTCAGAACATGGTCTCAACGTAACCTGCCAGGAACTGAGTGACCTCTTTCCATACGTCAGGGACGAGACTGTTTGTGACGATGCACGGGATACTGCGAAGCAATGTTGCTTGCCTGCTTCTGGTCCGGTTGGGGGCGAAGCGGCTGGCGGTGTGAATGACACTAACCCACCAATGAAATTGACTACATCTTTCTTGGCATTCGACCAGGAGGGTCAACGCACAGCCCGTGACTTGGCAGCCCCTGCTAGTGTGGAAACCGTCAACACGGCCTTTGACAAGTTCATGATTGATGTTGTTGCCAACACGGAAGCAACTCAAAGGCATTTGCTGCAAGCTCCGTCCAACCGTCGGCTGGCCGTTTCGCTTGTTCCTGGAAGCAGCGTATTGTACGGAGTGTCCGACGTATCTTGCGCCGATTACGATGGAGTCCCGGAGAAATCCAGCTGTCAGATGGTGTTTGCACAGTACGAGCTGATCTTGCAAGACGAAGACCCCAAGGAGGTCGAGAAAAAGTACGACGAGGCCACGCAAAAGGCCATTGAACAAGGGAAACTGCAGCAATACTTGTCTCAGACAGATCCAAACTACCCATTCAAGGTAGCTGCTGTGACAGACGAGCCCGAAGCTTCATCCGACAAGATGCCATGGTGGGTTATTCTCTTCATCGTCTTGGCGAGTGTCTTTGGTGTCTGTGGTTTGTGTTGCATCGGAGGCTACTTCATGTCGGGACCTGTTCGACCCAAGCAAAACGACGACGATATCGAGGCCCCGCTGCTGGAAGCTACTGCCGTGCACGTGACGAGTGACAGAGTCAAGCCAGAACAGCAAGAGCCCTCCGACGGGCAGGACGAACGTACTCCTACCGGCGAAGACAGTAGTGTGACGCCCTTGGATCAGAACAATCTGCAACGAGAGGTCGTTGATGACGACTACGATGAAGACGTTAATAGGATTGCAAGGGTGGAGGACCAGGCTGGAGATGACTCTTCTGATGAAGATGGAAGAGATGAACCCTGGGGCGAAGATGACGGCAGTTGGGAGGATGGCGACGAAACCTATGACGAGGCGCATAATGTCAGGTTAAACAAGAGCGAGGTCGCCGAGGTTGTAAGCGACGAAGAAGATGACTTAGACGATGGCGATGGTCAGAGCTGGGAACACGGGGACGATGATGACGAACAGCAACCACGTGAAAATCCAGATCTCGATCAGAGAGACAAAGAGCCAAATCAAGACAACGAAGGGGAACATCAAAACAGAAATGCTGCCTTCGAGGTGAATGATGCGAGCCAACATGGCGAGGAGCTTATGCAAGACGAGGAGGCGCAAGCAATGGACGTAGTAGACGACGAAGAAGAACATCCTGCAGAGGAGGCGCAAACAATGGACGAAGACAAAGAAGAGCAGCCTGCAGATGCCGACATTGGTATGGTGTCCGAAGGAAGTGACCATGATAGCAACATCGATGGTGGCATGGCTGAAACTTGGGACGACGAAGATGTGGAGCAGCCCACGGGCGAGGAAGGAGTGGTCACACCTACTGACGAACAAGTGGGAACCTCACCTGATGACGAAAAAGAGGCAAGATCACCCACGGCTTCACCTGAAACTGAAGTCTTCGATGCAAACGATTCTCCAAGGTCAGATGGGAATGCAGTTGAAGAACTACGGGCGCCCGCGGAACCGTTACCGCACATGGAGCAAACCGCAGGTGAACCGGCTGCTGTTGCCGTGGCGCAAACAAACATTGATGGAGCAGGAGAAGAGCCTACCGGCATGCCCGCCGATACAATGATAGCTCGAGTTGACAGTGAAGATACAGATCTTGACGGATTCGATGAAGAAGGACTGGGGATTGCCAAACTTCGTTCGGAACTTGCCGAGATTGATCGTCGAGCGGCCACGAGCTTTGCATCAGAATCGCTTGGACCATCCAGCATGATCGTAGAACCTGACGAAGAAGACGTGAAGTTACCCGCCTCTCCTCGGGTGAACGCGAACAGCAACAAAGATAGCATGCAGCCTGATGGTGACGTCAATTGGGTATCACTGCACGAGGAACTGGCTGGTGATGAGGCGCCTCAATCAATATTCGACACATTTCCCGCCGAAGAGGCACGGCAGCGCGAACTAGAGGCCGGAGAAAGCCAACCACATGAGAGCGAGGAGGGAGGGGAACAGATTCCTTCAAACGGTGGAGCAGGCAAACAGGTCTCATCATTCGACACAGCTGGGAATCCTGCACATTCAAGCGAGGGAGGAGATTTTGATGTGTTGCCAAACGAAACAGAAAATGACTTTTCCAGTCCGACGCCACAGAACGAAGCAGTGGGCACTCAGGTCGTTGCGGACGAAGATGCCATTCATGCTTGATTCGCATGTCTATTCGCTTGCAGGGGAAGCACAGATCATTATGCGATTCATACTTACATGCAAACATTAGAGTGACTACTAATGCAATTTACACATTTTTAGAAATGGAATGTCCAACATCCCAGCTCTGGAGCCCTCACTTGCGGCAATGCTTTCCTTTGATATCATCGACGTCTTCGCACAGTTCGCCGCCACAGAGTACATCCACATGAATATCAGGCACAAGAGATTTTCCAACTCGAGTACACGCTAGTGAAGGGGAAGGCAAATTACCCCATCGTGCAACATCGACAGCCGTCACCTCGTTTGATCCGTACACCTCCACTGTGAAGTCGTTTGGAGTCCATGGCTCGGGGGTTTCGACAAAATATGGACAGTCTGTCAAATCTAAAACCATCAAATTCATATTTGGGTTCCTCATGACAGGCACCACACACCGCCAGTCGTCATCATCTTCCTTGTAGACCACCATGCGAGCATCAGTGGTACCGTTGCCGTAGTTTTCGTACACTCGCATTGGGTATCCGTCTGCCCATCCAATTGGCAGAGTTGCCACAATTGAGTCCCGGACCAGTGTTGTTGTGCCATAACCCAGAAGCCGACCCTCGGCAACACGGGAAATGGTGGCAATCTTGGTGCGAAAGGATAGGACTGGTTTGAGATTCTCTTCCAGCGATCCATCAGTTGGAGCACCGTCGGCTAGGACACCAGGCGGAAGAAGACCAAAGACGCCCTTGCCCGGTCGAACCATGTACCGGATCTGTGCCAAGCCTTCCTCCGAAAGTGAGTCTTCGTCGCATTCCCACGGCTCTCCGTCGCCAAGCATAAGAGCAATGGTGCGCGTGTTGGCATAGTGAATTGTGATCGGTACACCAGGCTGCATTTGAGCCAACTCGTCTGCAATGGGGCAAACAGCATTCAAGAACATGGAAACCTTTTCTTCCACCCACTCCTTCCCTTCCTGGCCCATGTGTGTCATGAGTCCAGTGATGACATAGCCGGGGTGGGAAGACAGGATGTCGTTGACATAGCTGCGAATTTCATCGGTAGGATCAGAAGCGTCCCAAGCTGTTCAGAGAAAAGAACATTGACAGTAAGAACAAAGAAGAAACCAGAGTTAGTTCATGAGATTGCTTGGACTGTGCCATTCAGCGTTAGTTGCAGCCAACTTACGCCAGAAACCGGAACGGGCCATGCTGGTATCAATATTGATCTGCACTTTCTTGGCCAAGGTACCAGCATCGTCTTCTGCACCAGTCTCCTCTTCTTCTTCGGTTTCATCTTCTTCGCCAGGTGCTGGAAACACCGGATCCGGTCCTTCTGCGCTGAACACATCGAAACCACCACTTTGCAAACCTCTCCCTAGCAACTTTCTCCTGCCCCCCTGCATGTTCATGACGTATGTCAATGAAGCCAGCTGATCCCTGTTTCCAAGAACTTCAGTAACACCAAGATCAATCCCCGCCTCCAAGTTGGCGTTGGTAGATGGACGGATGCGGACAAGGTCAAACTCGTTTGCCTTTGGATTCTCGGTATCGGTCCGAACGACCTCGGCCTCCCAGTCGTCTACAAAGCACAAGGAGTGAATGGCGGGCACGGCTGCACTTGCTCTCCCATAAAGCGCCGTACCATGACCGTAGGCATCGCCTTTGACCACGGGGCACACAGTCCACTTGTCCGAATTGAAGGCAGTGGAAAGATATGCCATGTTGGCCACTGCCTGATCAAAATCCATGGTTACCTGAGCCGACATTCCACCCAAGCTTTCCATGGCGGCAGCATGCTCTTCCTCGATACGGTGAACCATCGTGCCTTGGCACGACACCACAAGTAACGCAATAGATAGGAGTAAGTTTCTCATCTTGCCCGGCCTCGTTGAGTTGTGTTGGTTGGCGTTTTGGTCGGTGTTGTTGAGTTTGCTCCAAAAAATGAGGCAACAGGATTTGCGCACCATGACGCCAATGACCGAATGACCCATATCTTTTCAGCATCACCTGGTTCGTACGTTCGTAGCGGTAAGCAGTAAGCAGCACCGTTTCCAATAACGCTAAAGCTTTTCAAGCTTACCACACCGTAGGCTTGAGGGGCAGAGTGCTGATCCACTTCTCTTCAAACTCACGACTGAGAGAGAAGCAGCACTCAAGCATCCATTGCAACCAAGTCGTTGACCATGGCTGGTACTGTTGCCTGTCTGCTCGAAACGCTGCCCCAGGAGTGCTTCAACCATGTTGTTGCCCATATCCCGCTTTCGGATATGCCAAAGTTAAGTTGTGCATCGAAAGCGATGGCAGAACTTTGCGGCAGTGACAATTCCGAGTTATGGAATGGTTTGCTGTGCGAGCGCCTGTGGACCGTGGATCCTTCCGTGGTGCTGTCTTCTTCGGATACGACAACAACGACGCTGGAAATGGTAAACTGGAAAGATCAGTACAAATCCTTAGTAAAGGCAGAACAAGACCATCAGGCATATCTGGATGGACTCAGGCGTTTGAATTTGCATGGATGGTTGGAGCGCCACTTTATCGGACAGCTGGCACCTCATTGGAACGGCTGGGAAGCGCGCTACTGGACGTGGGACTCTTCCTCCAACAGTTTTGCAGCTTGGGAAAGCGAACGGCGCCGCAACTGCTTTGCACGCTTTCCCGTGGACCGACAAAGCCAAGTGCGTCGTGTTTCGGAGGAAGAACAGATAGCCCTCACTGGAACTGGCGCTAGCAAGGGAAGTGCCCTCAATCCTGTGACAAATCCCAAACCATTTGTGTTTACACTGTCCAATACCACCTTTCCCATGTTGTGGGCTTGTCGTGACGAAGCACAACTGCAGACATGGTTGGACAAAATCTCCGTGACGCTGCACCCACTCAAGTTTGAAGGACGCACCTACAAGGCTCCCGCCAAGTTCAGACTGGAAAAGAAACCTTGTCAGCCATGAAAGTTAGATACTAGACAGCGAGTGGAGAAGAGTAGGTAAATGCATAGAAATCAAAGATGTGTAGGTAAATGCTTAGAAATCAAAGATGTCCCAACTAGCTAGTGCCAGTGTTTGCAGTGTTGGAAATAGACTAGCTTGCCACTCATTTTGCAAGCAATCCCTAATACATGTACACGCATGAGAATGGGTGATATAACTGGGTGTTTGAGCAATCATTGTAGCAAAATCACACAAGCACCATCCCTTTCACACAGAGAAAAATGAATTTTAAAAAATGACACACTCTTGCGGTGTCCTTTGTGGCCATGTAATAAGGTGTGGATCATACTGGGTGGTACCGGTATAAGAACTGGTAGAAGGATATCACTTGCTCGCTAGCTAGCTAGATGAATAATAAACACTCTGTATCTATCTGCACGTCTGTTGCAAAAGGAGATGGATTGGAAGTCCACAGAGGCTCCGACTGCGTTGTTGATGGTGATTAATTGCGTCTTGAATGAGCGAGGTGTCACACCATCGTATTCAATAGAAACTGTAGTGTCACTTACCGAGACTCGAACTCGTGTCGCCAGAATCAGAACCTGGAGTGATAACCACCTACACTACGGAGCCACGTGATGACATTGAACGACCACATGCAGCGGCAAGAATTATGTTACAAGTTGGAAACAGTCTGAGAATAACTTTGGACGTGTACCGGTACCACACGTACCGCGTTCTAGGACAGGTTTCCTTTCGCGGCAAAGACCGCGGACGGTACCGGTCCAGGTACTTTGAAGAAAAGGGGAATTAGAGGGGTTGGAGGTTATCTACGGAAGCGAGGCCAGGCTTGGTTGCAAGAGGCCAAAGAAAAGCCCACTTCTTTGAATGCATTCTGAAATATATAAGGGGGGTTTAGAGTAGGGAAATTATCTACGGAAGCCAGCCGGGGCCAGGCTTGTGCATTCTGAATGATCAACCAGTCTGTACTACAAGTAGGTTTTCTGGCGTGATGATCTCTTCCCATAGAACCACACCTCGCAGGACGTTCTCCACCGTTATTTGCGTACCAGTACCTCCTTTGTGCTTCTACGCTCGCTGGAGCTAGTACTGCAGACACTTGATACGAAGGTATCTCGAGGACACTCCGAAACCTGAAACACTCAAGTCTCCTAAATGTAGTTTTGGTCGATTTGTCCCATCCACCCAATACATGATTGAATCCAATCCAAGAATCAGGTCATTACAGATATCTGTTTGGGCAATTCGCTCGCTAGCTAGGATACACAGCATTGCTCCGTCATTGACAAGACGACACTGGCTAGCTATTCATTGACCAAAGGCGAGCTACTCCTGTGCATATCTTCCACTAGTAAAACATATTATCCCTCTACTATCACAATTGAAACGTCTGTTCATTGTGATATCGTATGGTGAGAAGAATTCTAGCTCGATCGAGCACGGTCCGTTGCGCCTCTTCCAAAGACGGTTGGAGGTAGAAATCTGAGAGTCTTCGATTGCCCCCGGCCGCTCCATCCATAATTTGACACCCCAGTTGAATGCTGTTTCGGACATTGTCATTCATGAGGTGTTTCATCAAATTCCAACTCACATTTGCAAAATAGCCGGTATTGTAGGCCATGATGGTTTTGAACTTGATGGGATAACATCCAACCAATTCTCCGTGACGCCGGTACTCAAATTCCATATTCATTTGTTGCGAGCTAAAGCCATCGAGATCGGCAATTTCAAAGACGCCCTGTCGAACACTCGCCAGATAAGGAGAACAGGCAGTGTGCATATAATACAAGCCACAGACCAGTTGTCTCCAGTTGTAGTCCAAATCGCCACCTGTACCGACCGCGAGAGCCGCAGCGGGATTGAGTTTGCCCACGTCCAAGACGCGAATTGCTTCATATGTGCTGGCACAGCAATCCACATGAAGAAGGAATCCGGGTTGCTGCGTCATGAAGGCTTGGAGGTATTGCATCCCCTGTTCAACAGTATCGTTGAGATGATATCGTTTGCGAAATTCCTGGAGATTGCGAATCTTTTCGACGGCGATGTCCGTATTGGCTTCATCCACCAACGCGTAGTGAGCATATTGAAAATCGTTGACGTTGTCCAGTTCCGAGCAAGATTCTACGCGCTGTTTAACGGCCAAGGCGTTCCCATGCTCTTGTTGTGTCATGACCATGGAGAGGTCATGTTCTTGAAATTGGGCAGCTAGAAGGGATGCTTCCTCCATCAGAGCTTCCTGAAAGGCTGTTTCCTGTGGTTGTTCGTTGTTATCATCCATTTCCATGGGATTATGGCCTCTCGGAACGAAACAAGTGGCAGCCAGAGAGATGGTACAGTACTACTCGAGCCCAAGGCACAGCAGAGCAAGGCATCGACGATTTGACGGTTGGTGGGTGATGAGTTCAACCAGTCCAACGTTTGCTGCTGAAATGGCTCTGACTCGACTCGACTCGACTCGACTCATTCGAGCTCTCATTCGTCTGATGCTGCAAGCTGGCAGGCAGGTAGAATAGGGTGTGCTTTTTCTCGGCATAGTTCCACGGCTGGGTCGCTAATTGGAAAAGTGGCTTACTCGTGGTATTCTTTAGGGTTCTGACCGCGCGAGAGTCAGTCCTCGGCTGTTCTGCTGTGTCTTTGTGTGGTCAGTGGCCAGTGGCACTGAAAGAAATCTCTTTATGGGTAGTTCGGGTATGCAATGTAACATTATTTATGATTACGTCAGAATATGTTTACCGCAACTTCCTGAAATCCAATTGTTGCTCCAAGGCCTCGGTCATGATCAGAAAAACCGAACCAAGCCACATTCGCCATGGTTGTAACCTACAACCAGTTCCAACAGAATGATCAATCGCGGCCATAGTCTAGCTTGCAAATCTAATTCTTCCAACTCTTATAATAGCTTACTATTATTACTATAACCATGCAAATGAATGGTAACAACAATCACCTAAACGAAGCAGCCTTTCAGGAAGCTCTCCTGTCCGAAGTTTCCCAGCTAGCCACCTTGCAAGGTCATGACAGGTCCATGGTCATGACACCACATGAGCATGGAAACGCCACGGCCATTAAACAGAGGGTGGAATCTTGTTCAGAACTGGACAATCTCAACGATTTTCAATATGCTCATTACGCGTTGGTGGATGACGCCAATACAGACGCCGCTGTTGAAAAGATTCGCAATCTCCAGGAATTTCGCAGACGATATCATCTCAACGATACGGTTGAACAGGGGATGCAATATTTGCAAGCCTTCATGACACAACAACCCGGATTCGTCCTTCATTTGGATTGCAGTGCTGGCACATACGAAACCATTCGCGTCTTGGACGTGAGCAAACTCAATCCCTCCGCGGCACTAGTGGTCGGTACAGGTGGCGATTTGGATTACAACTGGAGACAACTGGTCTGTGGCTTGTATTATATGCACACTGCATGTTCTCCATATTTAGCGAGTATCCGACAGGGTGTCTTTGAAATTGCCGATCTTGATGGCGTGGGCGCACATCATTTGAATATGGAATTCGAGTACCGACGTCACGGAGAATTGGTTGGATGTTATCCCATCAAGTTCAAAAACATCATGGCCTACAATACTGGTTATTTTGCCAATGTGGGTTGGAATTTGATGAAACATCTCATGAATGACAATGTTCGAAGCAGCATTCAACTGGGGTGTCAAATTATGGATGGAGCGGCCGGGGGCAATCGAAAACTCTCAGATTTCTACCTCCAACCGTCTTTGGAAGAGGCGCAACGGGCCGTCCTGGATCGAGCCAGAATTCTTCTCACCATACGATATCACAATGAACAGACGTTTCAATTGTGATAGTAGAGGGATAACATGCTTACTAGTAGAAGATAGAATTAGCTTGCATTTGGTGCATAAATAATTGCTAGTGTGGTCTCGTCTACAACAGGAACACCGTGCATCTCAGCGAACGAATTGCATGAACAACCTGATTCGATTTGATTCATTGGATGGATGGGCCAAATTTGATCAACGGCTTCGCAACGGAGAGCACCACTGACCTGGATCTTCAATCGGACTCTTGGTCAGCGCTACGAAATCCTCCGGCATGTTCATCAGCAGCCACTCGGGGGGCTGTTTTGCTTCAATTGTTGGGAATTACAGCTATTAAAATAGCTAGCCAGGACACTCTCCAGCATTAAGCTCATCCAAGTCGCAGCGGTTCAATGGAAAGACCACGCAAGTCATATCCCAGGGTTCGATCGGGCTGACGGGCGCCTTGAATGCTGGCTATAGGTTACTTCGTACAATGAGAGGACTCGAAGGAGATGAGAAGCTGTGTAGCACTAGCTAGGGCGAGAAGAAGAGAAAGGAAAACGGCAGACGAATTTCCTTCCGTAACTGTTCTCCCAACCAAAAACTCACGCTAGCTTTCTTGGAATATCCCACAAAAGAGGATTCGTTGTCTGAATGACTGACACTCAAGCTTGTTGATGCTGTAGTTACTGATGCGGGTTGACTTGCAGCAGAAACACTTCTTTGGAATCGTCTCGTTTGCCATCTTCTTCGTGATACACCACGGGATGCCACACCAGACATTCCACAGCCCACTCTTGGGCTTTTAGTTCCTCCATGACTCTGTCTACTGTCGTAAACATCTTGGAGGTGTTTGTTTCCTCTGGTTTGTCAGGATCTCGTCGTTGAAAGCTCATGAGCAACGTGGGGGAACGCTTGGATGTCTCAAAGATGGATTGGACCGTGTCTAGTAATCCTTCCAACATGGACACCAGCCACACACAGTCACTGGCCACAATCAGATCCACTTGACATTGCTCATTGGAAAGTTGATTGTCGAGAGGACGCGTCCAATCCAATGCTGCGGCAGCTACCCAACCCTGTCCGATTCGGAGAGTGGTTTTGGACGTGTCAGAGCTGCTGCTATCATCGGCCGTGCTTGTTGGAAGAGCCGGCAAGTAGGTTGTCATCCATTCTGGCGGCGGCGCATCCTCCTCTCCACTGCTGCTGCTGATGCTATTGCGTTCCAAGTTGGGTATCAGCGATTCGGACACGAGAGTGGACAAATCCGTGAGGAGCACTTGACACCCGGCATGGGCCAAGGATGCCCCCACCATGCCAACCCCCGAACCCAATTCCAAAACACGGAATGCACCTTTGGAAACTCGTTGTTGCCACTTTTGGAGATCATCCGGGTCGCTGGACTGAGGGACGGTCAATGCCTCTACGACCAATCGGCTCCCCGGCCAGACTTGGAAGCCTGTTTTGCCGGCCAAAGTATACCCCGGATCGAAAAAGGACGGATCGACAGCACCATCTTCTTCTTTTTCAGCGGCTGGTTCATTGTCTACCAATACTCCACAAGACGGTTCTCGACAATAAAATAATAAAACATTCTCCTTGCCTTCTTGATGACCGACCGAACACTCAAATGCCACCACAGCCAGGTGATCGAAATTGTCTTGGTCCTCCACAATCCGTTCTCGACATCGAAAGTGCTCGGAGGGAGGCCGAAGACGAGACGGATCCCCACGAAACCCAGATGTCATGATTCGATTCGATTCTAGCTAGCCAGGGGTATCAAGGAGCTAGCCAGAGAAGCAAAGACATTCGAATGGCACTCTCGTCGACTTGGAATTGGAAGGTTGTATGAATGTGTGTGTGTGCTTCAGTAGTGCGGTTTGGAGTGAGTGCGTCGAATTCTTTTTGTTGTCGTTTTGTGAAAAGCTCTAAATCTCTCAGACGTGCTTCAAAGATCTTTCCAATGTGCAAAGTGGTGAGGATTTATTTCATAACTCTTTTCAGTTTTTACACCCTTGGAAGCGGCTCAATTTAATTTTTAAAAAAAATGTAGCACCGGTAGTCTAGCTAGCTCCTAGCTACTAGCTACCGGTATGGGGAACTGCATGTTGATCCAAGGTCAACATTGCCCTTACATAATATTTTTATGAATGCTTTGCATGACATGTTGCCCTGGAATGAATAAATCATGGCCAAGTGACCGATGAAAGCCGGCATTTAATTTTACACATGCAACCATTGTGAAGATCTTCAGGAGGAATGCTGAATTGAAGTGATGGTGTCTTCAATGTACCTGGTACCGGTAGCACGAAAGCTTGGCAGAGCGAAGATCCAAGCAGGTCTTAGATCCCCTGCAATTTTGAAATCCGCATAGAAAGGATAGCATCGGCCAATGCCACCTCGGACACCGTCTCCACTAGCTAGCTAGTAGACTAGAACCATGTTCACTATTTATTCTCTATTGTATCGCTCCCCAACGGCAACAGCTCAACAAGTTGATGATATACCGGGCAGACCCCGGTGATCTCTGACCCCGTTTATTGTGGTGGTGGTGGGTTTGGTTGGTTGGTTATCCTTAGGGTTAGAGATTTACTTCAACCCCCTCTTTCTCACGCATTCTCATAATAATCATACGGCAGCAACGGATCCTAATATTTTCCTCACGATGCCCACCTCTAAACTCCCGTAAGCTACCACGCCACTTTCTCAGATGGAAAAATCTATTGACTCACGTTGCACACCTCTAAACTCCCGTAAGCTACCACGCCACTTTCTCAGATGGAAAAATCTAATGACTGGCCTTGCACGCCTCTAAACTCTTGTAAGCTACCATGCCTCTTTCTCAGATGGAAAAACCTTACGTCTCACGTTGCACACCTCTAAACTCCCGTAAGCTACCACGCCACTTTCTCAGACGGAAAAATCTAATGACACTACCTTCAGCCAAACTTTAACAATATTATTATGCCCGCCCATCTTTCAATTCAGCTCGCCCGGTATATCTATTACACCTCCGGTGTCCTTTATTTGGTTGCGTTGGTTGGTTGACTTTACTACATGTAGCTAGTAGGGTTGAGGGTGCCGATTGGATTGCCTGATTGCTGTAAAAGGTTGTTGGAGCGACTTATCGTAATCTGAGTACCGGTATACTGTAAATATGATACATCGTGCTTGTACTAGCTACCGGTATTGATAGTACGCGTTTAAGTGTAGTACCGTGGGCTATGGTCTACTGAATCCGAATCGTGTACTCCGGTACCGGTACTCATACCGGTACGATCTACAGTAGACTAACATACCGAATTCACCAAGTACTCAATAGTACACATACCGCTACATAGATCCTGATTGCTGTAATTGCAGATCTATCTTACCCTGGAGCCTGGCATAGTCTCTGCTTGCCGAACTCGACATCTCGACAAACGAAGTAACTGAGACCTTCATTCGAGTACATAGAGGATCTGACTTGAGCTATATGTGTAATGGCATGCAACTCCGAAGGGCCAACAAATCTTTTAATAATAATTCAATAGATCTAGTTAGTTGTAAAGAGCAGAGGCCAGAGAGTGAGTCACACAGTGCTGCTTTTAACTACTATTAATAAGTCTTGTCGTGGATCAAGGATCAATGGTCAAAACGTCAAAACGTCAAAAATTTTACTTTTACTGAGTACAGCTGTACTGGATAAGTAAGTGCCCGGAATTGGCGCGTGCCTTCGATAGGCTTTTCATGGAGCAATGAATGGTGGAAACGTGACTTCCTTTCTGGAGTCTTGCCTGTTATTTCCACCAGATTGCATTTTATAAATACCAGCTTGACGCGTGCAAGAAGGGGTGTTTATTGCGGATCTTGCACGTGCACATCTCCTTTTACATATGAAATCCATGAAACCGGTAAGACATTGTCATAGGGAGTTAACGACGTGAAGAAAAGCTTCAGAAACCAGATCGTGAATTGCATCCTCAACTCGCTTAATTATGGCCCTCGAGGGTTTCTTCCAGAAAAGTCATTTCGAATGACTTCGCAAGATCGTTGGCCTGTCAGGCGTTTGACTATAGAAATGATAGTAGATCACGTGCCGTCTGCTTCCAGCTTCAGCTGTTGTAAATTGGGTGGAACATCTAGTGAAACGCAGGGAGATTGGGGTAGCATAGAGATGCGAACGCAAGCAAGCCAGAAGGCTTTCAGCATCCAGCAAACATGGGAATTGAACTGCTGGCTCCTCGTACAGTGTCATGTACCATACCGGTACTCGTACAATAATAGCTAGCTAGCGCACAGCTGCAAGGTCAAGCAGTAACTGGTCAAAAGCAGGCTGGGTATCAGCGCATGCGCAGAGAACGTCGGAACTCACTTTGGAATTGGCCAGTCTAGAGTACTGGTACTGGTATTCTTTAGAGAAGACCCTTGGTTACAGGTAAGACAATGGGCTGTGGCCGCTGTGGGCTGCACGTAAGTTGGCTGCTGCATTCGTGCTTGGTTCATGGCACATGGTATCCCAGCACAGCAGGGTGAAAACGCAGCCGACAGCTTGTAGCGAGCAACATGTACCAGCTTCTTTAGTTACCACGTTAGCACATACCCGTAGCAGCTCCCGTAGCTTGGTCGCTGGTCGGTGACTACAACAGTCGACTGTATCATAGATATCTGCTCCTCTTCTTTTACACGCTTCGTTTGTCCCTCCTTTGTCTAAGATTCGTCTCTACCTGGTCACTTCTATGTGTCGCCATTGTCTTTCAAGAGCTCTATCATGCGGCATCTTTCCCGACAGGTAGAGCAGCAAGTAGCAAGTAGCGAAGTACATGTAGCGAGGCAATCTAGATCTGGCTAGTGAAACTATTACATGTTTTGACTCGTTTGCCTCTCTCTATTGCTTCAGATGCTTCCGGTGACACTAATTCGATTCTGGCTGGCTCTGATCTACTCGTACTCGTAGATCTATTCAAGTTGCTTCTGATTGCTGTCATGGCTGGCTGTCAGATTGCAGTCCCTTGGCTGCAGTACCCTGCGCGTGCTTGAAGCAAGCATTGCAGCTTGCAGCCCAGCTGCATTTGTTACCATGTCACCATGTATGTAGTACTGTACATGGTAACAATTCGAGTTTGTGCGATTCTCTGCCCTCCTGGTACCGATATGAAAATTAATTGTGCTCTCTTCAGTCTTCAGACGAGTGGCTAGCTAGCTATCTACTACATACTACAGCTTCTGCTACTCAGTACGGTAGCAGATAGATGACCAGCTAAAGCTCTAAGAGTCAGTCCGCGCAAAGCTTCAAGCTTCAAGTTGATTTTGTAGAAAAAAGAAGGGGACTTACTTCTCTATACTATAGTGTCGCCATGACCTCGAAATAATACGAAGCTTCAAGAAGATTGGTTCATTCTTTAGTACTCGTAGCTCTCGTAGCGCACCGACACAGCCATAGTATGCCATACGTAGCTAAAAGCTAGCACCTCTACAGCAGCGGCATCATGCATGTGGCATCCTATCATCATCTACTCTACTCGTACTAGCTAGAGGAGCCATCAATACCGCCGGAACACCGACAGGGAAGAGAGTTGTAATAGGAGTCAGTGAAGGCAGGGACTCTTCTTCTCTTTTGGTGGTCTGCACGTGAAGCCACAATTCTGCATCAATTGAGGAGTCTTTGGGTCCCTTTGGGATGGCCATCGAATGATGGCGATGTTCCTTCTTCACCCTCCCAAGACCACGCTCCGGCAATAGATCTAGAGACGATTGAATTCCTTAGCTCTTTGTGACCAATTTATTTTATCCCTCAACTCCTTGGAAGAGTCTTTTTGCAAGAGGCACAATCGGAAAGGTCGCTTCTGACAAACCCCTTGTAAATATTTTTGCTCGGATTCTATAGTAAAACAATACGTATGTAAGTCGAAAGGCGGTATTGGAGCCTCGGCGATGTGGCACCACGAGTACTAAAATTCTGTGCCACACCCTTGCTCGCTCGTTTGTGTTGTATTGTGTGCCAGTACGTAGTGTGCCACGAGTACTAAAATTCTGCACCACCCGTCTGTCGGATGCTCGAAGCACCACCACAGTTGCCAAAATAACGTGACGACCCAGTCAACGCAGCAAGAGCAAAAAGAAGAGCAGCAACAACAACAAACGGACCGCTGCACTGCAACAAAGAGCCACGAGCACCCTCGTTGAATCCTCAGGTCAAAAAGCTTTCCTTGTCTCCTCGTGCAACCCTCCCATTGTTCAAGTAAGCCCATCAAGCCAAGCTACCGTATCAAGCCCACACAACTTGTAGTGAGCAGTAGTAGTCGAGTGTAGTTAGTTCCGCTAGCACCGCAGCAACACAGCAACAGCAACAGCCCAAGCAGGAACGGCAACCAACAACCCAGCATAGCCCCCTTACATAGACAAACACACGATGATGATGGACGATTTCTTGGGTCAGATCAACGGCAATGATCAACAACAACAACAACAGCCGAACCCATTCGGCATGGAACCGTTTGGTGGTGCGGAAGCAGCCGCCGCAGATCCGTTTGGTGCGTTTGGGTTTGGCAATGGCGGAGACAATGGCGGAGGTCCCTTTTTGATGGACGACGACGATCATGTGTTTGGTGGTGCTGTTGATGCCGAGTTTCAAATGATGGACAATAGTCAGCATTCCATTGGTGATTTGTTCTTGTCGGGACACGTGAGTCGTTGTCTTCAAGAAAAGACGTCCATGATGCTCAGTGAAGAAGAACTGCGGTGGGCACGAGAACTCAAGGGAGCACTGGAAGCGTCCGACATGGCCGATGTGTTGACGGATATGCAGATTGCGCAGTACGCCATTGTGGCGGACGGACACATTCTGAATGCGCTTCAGCGGATTCACGCCATGGTGGCCTTTCAAAAAGAATACGACATTGACGACAGTGTCGCGCAGGGAATGGAGTGTATAGAAGCGCTACTCGATCAACAAGACGGAGTGTTTTTGGACGTTGACACGAATCCACAAACCCAAGAGAGTGTCATTGTGGTCGATGTCCGCGCGTTCAACCCCAAGGCGGCTCTTTCCGTCAACCGCACGGGCAAGGGCGGAGCCGAACTCCACTGGAAGATCCTCGCACGAGGATACTACTACCTCTACAAGGCCGCTCAACCATCGCTGGCAAGTGTACGACACGGACTCTTTCTAGTTGCCGACTGCGATGGCATGGGATGGGAAAACTTTGATCTGGAATCGCTGCAACGAATCCACGCCGAACTTTTTCAAGCGTATCCCATGAGATGGAAATCCATCATGGCATACAACACGGGTCTTGTCGCCAATGTCTGTTGGGGACTCTGCAAACGACTGTGGAGTCTGGAATTCCGTCAAGCATTGGAACTGGGATGTCAACTCGTCGACACGGATGCTTCCAAACCACCAAGACGCATGGCCGAAATGTACCAGCAACCCAATGTTGCTGCCGTACGTAAAAAGGTACTGCGACGAGTTGGTGAATTACTGGGGGAACGAGACGAAAATGAAGACGAATATGATTTCCCACTCGTCTCTCAATAAGGAAAACAGACTCTCTTGATACACTACACACAAGTCAAAAGGTCAAAACACATCCATCCTGTGCCATAATACTACTCATTTCATCATCCATTCCATTTTCAATCTAAAAAGGAAAAACACAAACACAGAACGAGTTTAATTAGTAACTGCATTTTCCCTTTTTTTCATATACATTTACTTGTACAAAACATTCTTTAGCCAGCTAGAGCTACAATGGGCTGCGTCGCAAGTCCTTTAGAAGTCATTTGGAAAAGAAACGACGGGCATCCATCCTTGGTCCGGGCGATCGACTATGGGACTCTCCTTTGGTTCCGGCCTCCTCCATTCTTGCTCTGTCGGGTTGCGGGGCGTGGAAAGGGCAAGCAAGCAACATCAGGGAGAAATTGTGGCAAATGAGCTACAGTACAGTAGAGAAATCGGCTTTGCGGCTGGGTGGCTGAAATTGGAGTACTGTACCGTAATCGCTTCTCCTGGACCGTCGAGGAGGACGAAAGAAACGCAGCAGTGGCTTCAAAAGATGGGAGACACGAAGTTATGGAATAGTACAAAGTGACAACAGAGCCATTTCTAACCAGTTACGACCCAGCTAGCTAGTCTAGAACTCTCCTTTGGTTCAAGCAGCAGGACGATTCCATATACTGCGGACAACGAGTTGACCACCACCTCAGCCATTTCCTCTCTAACAAACCTACACACTCCTTTGCGTAGACTACTCATCCGGGTTCTACTGTAGCAGAAGGACGATTCCATTTACGACCACCTCATCCGAAAAGCAGCTTTCGGCCCTCACCGGAAAAGCAGATCGGCTCGAGATCCTTGGTCTTTTTGCCGACAAATCGATTTCCATACTTCTCAAAATCCTTGGGTGGGCCTCTCTTGACCAAGGATTGAATCACTCGAGCAGCTTGGTCGTATTGTCCCTTGCGGATCGTCTCGTACGCCCGCTCTCCTTGATGCCAAGTACCGTGGTGGGCATCCTGACCAAGCAGCTTGCGGTACGCATAGCACGTTCCGATGAGTTCTTCCGAAAGGACCTGCGTTCCAACTTCTTGGTCGAAATCGAGCCAGTGAGCATGTTCCATGGCGATTACGTCGCACTCATGGAAGAACCATACAGCCACAGGCGCAGGGAGCGAGTCTTTCCATTCCTTCAAGATCGTGGGAGTTTGGTAGGCCTTTGTATTCTCTCGCATCCGCGGGGAAGACATCCTTCCGAAAACGATTGGTGGGAACACTGTGCCCTCGTCGTTCTCGAATTGCGGCATCTTCTGCAATTCGGCCTTGTCCTCGTCGCTTCGATCCCTGGTCTCGAATAGCTCTAATCCAAGTTGCACGCAGAAAACCTCTGTCCGCCATGGTTGTCTGTTTGATTGAGTGATTATTTATCACTGCATGGTGTATAAGCCTTGTCCGTTGCTTGGGCAAGCATTTGAGGTTTTCGCGCAATCTCCAACCAGGAGCGTTTCCACGGCAAAGTTTTCCACGATTTCAGTTGCTTACAACGGCACCTTGCATGTGCCAATGACTGCACCGGCACACAGTATCTATTTTGGCTTCAACCTAGTATTGTCTAATCCCATCCACTTTTACTCTTGTGCTCCTTTTTCTTTTGGTTTGCCACCCGTTCGTCTTCCAAGGCTTCGTGCTTGGTGCGTCGCGCCCGGTTAATCTTGTACTGCGAGGACATTTCCTCCAGTGCCAAGTCGGCCATTCGCTCGGAATCAAACTCGACAAAGCAAAACGTTTGATTCTTTGGCACAATGACAGTGACACCTCGAGCACCTCCGTATTTGCGAAACGCTCGTTCGAATTCGGCCCGTCGCATGTCCACGTCGGTATCCTTTCGAACCTTTTTCAGTTTGCTAATAAAGAGTTTTCTCTGCACAAAACAAACAAACAAATTCAATGTAACAATTCAGGGATTAGAACAATGGCATAGCTCGTACGTACATACTGGCAGATAGTAGCATCCAACTACCAACGCGGCACGTACCGGGTGCAACGAGCTAAAGCTCTTGAATCCAGGAAGCCCCACGAGATCGGGCCTGGCGAGAGGAGGTTTGTTGCCCCACCAAACCTTGTACACTACCCAGTTCTCCGGTTCTGCAATAATAATGAGTGAGGAGCAAAACGCAAAGAACGACATTTAGTGGCTGGGTTGGCAACTTCTCTGCACCAAACAAACAAACAACAAAGACTACAAAAGATGTGCTTCGTAGTACTCACTGTTGTAATCATCGGTGGCAGGAAAGTTCAAAAACAAGGACATGTTTCCAGTGGGCAATGCCCTCCGATGTTCCAATCTTGCAATGTGACTCTTTTCGTCATTGACAAAGACATCAAATCCTTCTCCATTGATTTGAATAATCAGAGTAAATGCCGGTTGTCCAAACATGAGTGGAACTCGGTTGAGCGGGACATTGACGGCCGTGCCCCAAATTCCTTCTTGTTTGTTGTTCAATACCAGCTGGCCACCACGTTGGCGTTGTCGTGGATTGAAATGAAAGAGGACCGAGTGAAAATCGTCGTGATCTGGGCCGGCAATGTTGATACTGAATCGCCTGGAATCTTCCGGTGCCATGCATTTGATTAGAATGGTGTTGTTGCCCATGCCATTGTTTGCCTGTGTGACATTGAATTTTTCGAGTTCCAGCGTGAGTGCTCCATCGTCGGGACTACAGGCATCTTTGGAAGGCGCCCAACTGACGAGATCGGGGGGTGGAAAGAGTCGCTGACCGGACATTGTCGTTTTGAATCGAGCGGAAAAGTCGTGTGGTGGAGTGGCGCGAGCCGTGAGATGGGCCAACAGATCCGTCTTGGGTTTGTCCATTTCATCACTGTCTGCTCGTTTTCGTCTCAATAAGGAAGGACCATCTTCATCGTCCGCTTCGGCCAGCAATTCGAGTCGTTTGGCTTCGGATTCTCGTTCTTCCTTGGCCTTTTTGCTCATCTTGGCTTCCACTTCATCCCGCATTTTCTTCAATTTCTTCTCTCTCTTTTCATACGTCGACTTGCCAGCGTCTTCGTCCTCTGAACTATCTTCATCGGTTTCATCACTCGTACCATCATCCATTTCTCCGTCATCATCCAGTGCCGACATTTCTTTTTTGCGACGCTTTTTCGGTCGCTTGGTCGCTGCTGCAGCTGGTGATCGCCATCACTATCCGAGTTGTTATCGGCCATTTTTTGTTGCCGTTGAAAGGCTTCATCCTTTGCGGCTAGCTTGGCGCGAGCTGCCGCATCCTTCAACCGTGCCGCTTGACGTTCGTAGTTGCGAATTACATCGTAGAAATTCAACAGGCCGTCTTCTTCTTTCGTTGGTTCAAAGTCTTCTGGGAGTGCATGTAAAAAGTACTTTTGCTGATGGGCTATCGAAGGAGTCTTCCATACTTGGACCTTTGGCTTGGCGGCGGCGCCTTGGTTACTAGTGTTGGCGGAGTCGACCGCCATGGTCGACAATTAATTATTGGTCGAAGTGTGGGTTGAGAGAAAGATCCAATTCTCTGCTGCAGAAGGGTTAGAGTTTCCAGCCAAGATCGTTCTGCGCGTTCATCTCTCACCTCGAGGAAGGTTTTGATCATTCCTGTTTTCCGCTACAATAAGCCGAGCCACTGTCTAGTAGCTACCGGTAGGAGCAAGCATCGGCCTGACTGATTAGTTCAGTGCATCAAAGCGTCTTTGTGCCATTACTTGTTTCGGGGGTCAGAATGGAGCCTTTGGCTCAGCACCTACCGTACGCAAACGACTCCGTCGATCTACAAGCGAGGATCAAACCAGTACCGACACAGAAGAAAATCAGCAACCTGCCAAGCGCCCCAAGAAGGACGCAGCAGATGATTTGGCAAAGGTCCTCCAAAACCGACCCAGTCAATCGAAGGATCAGACAGGACAACAAAACCAACAACAAGCTGCCAATAACGCCCCAAGAAGTCTCCAAGCAGATGATTTAATTTGTCCCATCAGTTTGGAGTTGCCATGGGAACCCGTCATGGCCGAGGATGGACGAGTCTATGAGCGGGAATGTATTGAGGACCATATCAAAAACAATCCGTGGGATCTCCGGTCACCCATCACAAGAGCAAGGATGGGAACCCGGCTATTGCCAGCCATTCAGCACCGAAACACCATTGAGACATTGGTGGAGTCAGGTGCCATTGAGGAAGAATTGGCAGACATTGTGTGTGGAACGAAGAAGAAAAAGAGAAAAAGAGAATGGAAAATTGTTGGAGGAGGCTGAAGAAGGGGATCCTGAGTGCCATGTATTTATGCGATGAATTATCACATGGCCAAAAAGGATTCAAGAAAGATCATAAATTGTCCTTCTATTGGTACAAGCGAGCTCACGAGGCTGGGGATGTCAGAGGCACAGCGTCACTGGGGGGTTGTTACCTGGCTGGTGATGGCGTAGCACCTTGCATCTCTCGTGGGTTTGTCCATGTCACTACCGCAGCCAACAAAGGGTCAGACTTGGCAGCATGTTTGCTTGGAATGGCAAATGTCAATGGATGGTATGGTATGGTTGTGGACAAAGTTGAGGCCATCCAGTGGCTCGAAAAGGCCACTGACGACGACTGTCTTTATATCGATTTGAAAAAAGACGCCAAGGACGAAGCTCGGGAATTGTTGAATGACCTAAGAGCCCAAGTACGTCGAACAGGGGCATGAGTTGTGTCTCCCTGGTCCTATTTGCTTAATTGATTCTGCCAGGCATGGCTGCCGGCCAGGCTGTCGTGATTGCGCTGCACAATTGCAGAAGCGCCATTGAAGAATTCTCTATAGATTTTTGAGGTATTGTACATGTATTACGTGTTGGACAGTCATTCTTGGCCTGCCACTTAGCATAGCTTTAGTAAGCATGATGGATACAGATCAGAGCATCCAGAATTTTGTCGAAGGATTGAGCTTCATCACCGGAGAAAAGATGGGCACCAGACTCTTTCCGGCCATCCAGCATCGAAACACCATTGACATTTTGGTGGAGCCGGGTGTCATTGATGGAGATTTGGCTGACACGTGGAATGAAAAGAAAGAGCAACACAAGAAACATGGAAGAATTGTTGAAGAAAGCAGAATGATATGAATGTTATGTATCATTCAGGACTTTATTATGCTCAGGGTCAGAAAGGTTTCAAGAAAGATTTCAAATTGGCTTTGCAGTGGTTGGAGAAAGCTCACGAGGCTGGGAATGTCATGGGCACATTAGTGGGCAAGTACTATCTGCATGGGACAGGTGTGGCCAAGCAACAATCGCTTGGACTTGTTCACCTTGCCGATGCAGCATCCCAAGGATCAAACCTTGCGCCCAAAGAATTGGGAATGGCATTTGCCAATGGAACTGGCTTGGACATGGATAAAACAGAAGCCATCCGTTGGTTGGAGAAGTCGCTTGGGAACTGTCCCCACAAACATCTGAATGCTGTAGGCAGAAACAAAGCCCAGCAGAAACTGGATGAACTCAAGGCATCAGTGCCTGCAAGTTCGTTGACCTCCTGATCTTGTTTTTCTTCCTTGAATTTGCGGGCTACTACTGGTGAGGGCTCCTGTCATTGTGGACGGGTGGATGGAAGGTTTCTGTTCATGAATATGTGCTCAGGAGCAGAGGATTCATCTGATTGCTGGATTGTTGTATTCATCTTTCTAGGAAAGTCAGGAGTTGTGGTTGCAAAGATTAATCCTTAACAGTTCTATATGTAGCCCGCTAGTAGCCAGCTATCCATAGCCGTGTTGGAGCTACAAAGTCGACATTCATGGTTTCCCGTAGAGACGTCCTGAGGGATCTTTCTTAACGGAAGAACGCTCTCTGGACTCCCCTAATGGCTGCTCGATGTCACCACGGTTCCAATCTGTGGCTTCCTTGTTATGATGCTTCACAGTTTTGTTTTCGGAGGGGAAGTGGTGAGTTGGACCAGGGCTGGCCAAAGGAATGGGGCTTTCGCCCAGTCCCACTTTCAGCTCGACGGTTCCTTCCAGTTCATCATCAACGGCGGTGGCCTGGATTCCGAAATACAGCTCCTTTCTTGGACGCTCAGGGTAACTTCCGTCAACGTGCACTGGATTGACCGGAACGCACTCTTCTTCGGATCGACCCAACACTAAGAGATCCCAAGCGGAGCGGGGCACGGGTGGTGGTCGTTCTGACCATTTCCAGTTTCTTGAGCAGAGAAGGATCGGAAGAGTGAAGATCACCGGAAGAAGCAGCAAGCAGAGGAAAGCAGCGTTGATGCTGGCGCGAACATCTTCCACGGAGACTTTGCCTGGTACAATCTCTCTTGTCAGCACAAAGGCTGCTGCGATGCTGTTCAGAGCCAAATTGACATGGTTCAGGCGAGTTCGCGGATGCAAGGCGTCGTTGCGAGATGCAATGCCACCGTAGGCCGCTAGCATGAGCGGCTCAACTTCTAGGCCAGACAACAATGTAGCGGATACAGACTGAAGATTGCACCACGGCAACTCGTCTCCTTGATACTCCGCGAAGTCAACACATCTCAGACCAACGTCTATGAGGCAACCAGACGCAGCGCTTGCATTGACGTGGGCTTCAACGTTCTCCTGACTCACAGAAAGGAAGTCGGCGACCTTCAACGTGTTATGAGAGTCGATGTAGGGGCACTGACGTGACCACGAGGAAATTGAGTAATAGTCGTTACTGCCTGCCTCTTCAAAGCGGTCTGGCCCCGTGAGGACTGAATATTCCACCTGAAGCTCGATACCTTGGGGAATCAGACTCCCGGTTGCATTCAAGCCAAAGCCTACAGTAAACCCGTCGCGAATGCGTTTTCCATACTTCCAGTCAACACCACGTGACAAAGGCGAGAGTGTCTCGTTCCTCGAGAACTCAATCCAATTTTGCCAGGTGCCGTCAGGAGATTGGACGCCAAGCGGAGAGACGGACAAATCTGTGGTAGCGGATTCAACACCGGCAATGAAGATTGTCCAATCCAACACGGCCCACTCTTGGCTTTTCGTCTTCTCTTCAAGGGACACATCCGTCACTGCAGCTTCGAAGGCACAATCCGGCATGGAAGTCATCGTCTTGTTAGTAAGAACCTCTCCTCCTGGACCGTAAATCGCTCGACTTTCTTCCACTTTTTGTTCAGTAGGGGCTTGACATTGCACTTGTAGCTCGTGGGTTGGAATCTGCTTTGCGGTGGAATTCTTCCTGAACGGAACTAGATCAGATTGCGCCACAGCTGTTGAGAGGAAGAGAGGAAGATGTTAGATACCGTACCGTGTTTTGACAACGAGCCAATGCCAGTTGGGATGCAGTAGGGATGAACTTACTCCAGGTACCAGAGCTTTCCAAGAAACCTGTGTATTTCAATGTGTCCGGAGGGAAGATAGAAAATCTGCTCAACCCCAAAGCGATGTCATCAGCCTCCTTCAGTAAGAGGGCGGCGGGAAGGGCAGGTGAGCTCGTGGTTATGACTTCTTTATCTCCAAGGAGCCCATACGTGGGAAGATCATCGGTGACATTTGGACCGAGGAAGAAACTATCCTCCAACCCCACTTGGACGCTCACAAAGTCAAGGTACAAGTCAGCAGCAGGATGAGAGAATGTCGCGACCAGCATCACAATGATCGTCCACAATAAGAGATAACCGTAGCAAGTCCAAGATCCGCCTGTGACTTGACGGTACAATCGAGTCAGGGCTTCCCACAAGGAATTGGGAGGCGAAACCACATCGTACAAGGGGATTCCTCCGCCGCGTTTCACGGACTCCCACAGCAGATACGGGTACGCAAATCCCAGAACAAACACCAGGAGCTGTGTAGTGAGTTGCCCAGCCAAGTCGGACAGAACGTTGAAATAGGTAGGCTCAATGTTTTGAATGATCCACATCTTGTTCGTTTTTGTGTTTTGTTTCTATAAGGACTGTATCACTTTTTGTGCTGTCTATACTCGCCTTCGCTTGGTTCATCGTGGATGTTCGGGTCCAGTCATTGATCTGTATGTAGCATGTAGCTGTAGCATGTAGCATCACGTTGGCAAGACGAACAGAACAATAAGACAAAAACTGGTACGCGTACTCTTTAGCAAATGCAGCAAAAAGTGAGAGAGCTATTTTACTGGGTTTGACAGAGACAAGCCTCCAGCTAGGCTAGAGTTCTGGTGCCGATTGCTGAGTGCCGAGTGCCGAGTGCAGCGGGCCATGTGCTAAGGGCTTGTTTGGCACAATCTGATGCCCTGTCATTGCAAAACGCTGGGGCCACTGCCACCGGTACTACTAACTAAGTATGCACATTTATTGGTGCGAGTTGAGCTCGACAGTCGAGTTGGTTCCAGAAGCCTGTCTTCACAGACAAATAATAACAAGTAGATACTTTTTAAAATTAAGGAGCGAGGGAGGCTACATTTCTACCTCATCAATAAGATAACTTTATTTTTAGTCTAGTACTGGAGGTATCTTAACCGATTCAGCCACAGCAACACTGAGTTATTATCTTAGAAGCAGCCCACTCTCAGTATCTTTCATATCTTATTGCCACTAGCAGCTATTGTCACATATCCCTACTACTAACCATGCCCTCGGACAGCGAGGAGCCACCACCAAAGCTCAAGAAGGCAAAGGTGCAAAGCTAAAATTGATGCAACCAAAGATGTTGTGGTAGAGAGGCACTCTAAGATTCGGATATGGAGTACTGGGATGTAGATGGTGATGTGGAAGATAATGGGTACTAGCTGCATTCATTCCCCACATAGTATTAGTATTAGCTTATGGATTGAGACCTCAGTAGTCGTAGCTTATCTTCCTGGTTCGGGAAATCTGAGTGTCCGGGTTAACCAAACATTTCTGAAAAGTTGAGTACTCGGTATCTTAAACCCACTTATCTTAAGCGTGAGTGAGGAGTGTAATGAAAAAAGGGTTACTGGTGCATACATGTATCACCGTAGAGATTACCGGCACGACCCCCAAAGCGAGAAAGATCCAAAAGAGCTCGCGTGCAGGCCCCGCCGCACCTCTCAAACATCACACACTGCCCGCTCTGCTGTACAGACGCATGAGCATGCACTCGTCGTTCTACTCGTCTCTTACATGCAGACTGAGCGATGATAGCTAGACTAGTACTGCGTACCGGTATAGTATAACATTTTCTAAAGACAGGTTCTTCTTTTACCACTACGAGCAAGTAACTTACTCGGCATGGTATCCCTTGAGATCCCAGCCATTGGGAGAATCGACATGTAGTAGGCGGCATCGTACACACCGCGCTTGGCCAGAGAAAGTGCTTGTGGTGCACATGGTGCTCGCCTTCACCAAGTCTAGGCGCGTACAAGGGATAGAGAGCATCCAACAACATCCACATGGGGTACCAAACTGGCGACTTTCCGATTTCTTCGTAATCCACCGCTTTGCACGTTGCCACAGTGGTATCCGGGTGATTGACCACGTTGAACCACAAGGTCATTGTCTGACAAATCCACGCCGAGACGTACGAGCAAAAGAGCCCTTGACGTCCAAAAACTAAAAAGGCTGTTGTCATTTCCACCATTGGCACAACAAAGGACCATGTATCGAGCACACGCAGCGCAAATGTATCGCAATGCTTGGGCGCAAACTCTTCGTCCACGGTCCGGAAAACCTGGAAAAAGGAAAAGGCCGCTTCGGTCCCAGCCATGGTGGCCGAATGCGGATCGCGCGGCAAATCGCAGTGTTTGTGGTGGCAGCGATGCTGACTGGCCCACCAAATGGGACCTCCCTGATTGGCCGCGCAACCCAAGACCATGATGGCCGCTCGTGTTGCCACGGAACATTTAAAGGCGGCGTGCGCCGCGTAGCGATGCAAACACGCCGACATGCAGACAGCAATCTTGAGAAATGCCATGCCATGGCGATTCCCACTAAAACAAGTGGAGACGCCATGCTGGTCACAAACAAGAGCGATGTCATGTAGCCCGGAACAGCCAGGACACAGAACACGGTGCGCATTTTGAAGATGAGAAAAGATGCCGCGATATGCACAAAAAGGGCCACCCAAAACCAATACTGAAGGTCCGCATTTTGTTCCGTTGTGTAAAAGGTAAAGATCGGAGCCACCACGAGAATGCCCATGCCAATTTCATTCACGTGCATGCCTCCACGGCGCCACCACGGCGCCTCTTTCGAAACCAAGGGAACAGCATCCTTGCCAGTAACACTCTTACTTGGAATGCTGACAACTGGAGTGGCAGTCGTTGTAACATCCGTCTTGTAGTTGCATCCTCCTTTTCCCATGATGATGGTCTTTTCGCCAACCACAGAGTTGGCTGTTTAGAATCATGTTGTTTGTGGTTGTTGGTCTGTGGTCGCCATTTGATTTCTTCAAAGTGCCAACAAAATCCGTTGCAAGTTGCAAGGGCCTGTTTGGTTTCAGGAGCTGCATGGTTCGGGTCATCTTGACTGCATGTGCATTGTACTTGCTCATTCTCCCAAGCTGGCCAAAGATACTAAGATTCATATGCCCACTACTGGGTCGTCTCCGTTTCCAGAAATAAGGTTGAGGATTACCGGTACAAGAAATGAAACAGTATTCGCGCGCTCCGCGCGCTCATCCCTTTCTTTTTGCTTCGCCCCGAAACCGATTCATGCGAAACTTGTGTGAAAAGCGAGGCGACTTTCATGTGCATGTACATGCGTTGACTGTATCCCGTCAATACAATACTAGTCAAATACGTAGACTTCTACAGAGGCCTCTAAGTATTGCACGCCGGGTATAATTCAAACCTCCGCCCCCAACTGTACCCTTACCCCTAAAGCAAGTCGTCTCCGGGAGACGAAATACAGTCAACACTCACTTAAGTTCCGTTTTCTTAAGTTCCATTACTCTACAAAGTTCCTCTTTTTCAGGTCTGCCCCCCCCCCTGAGTCACTAGTTCTCATGACTGACAAGTGAATGTGCTTTGTGGCAGTTTGAGACAGTGCTGCCAATCAGGACCCAGCATTCAGATTGTTCATTTATACATATATGAAGTTTCTTCATCTATCTTTCATGACAGGCATCTTAGAGAGCTCGAAACTAGCTAGCCACATCGCATGTTCTACTGGTCCAACACAATACAGACACCATACATAGGAGCAAAGCAGTTCCACCCCAAGACCGCTTATCTCTCCTTTACCCCAACAACAATATAATATGACAGGAACCACCCCAAGTGGGTCCTAAGACCACGAACGGGCCGATATGGGGCTCCAAAGATCTAAAGTTCCGTAATTCAGCTAAGTTCCGTTTTTTTCTTAATGCTGGGGGGTGGAACTTTAGTGAGTGTTGACTGTACAAAGATACTATGTACTTAGATACCGGTAGCTACCAGGTACCAGGACCGTCCAACGGTTTTCGATAAGGATTTAAAAACATTGAATGTGCCACGACTGACAACATCCTCTTAATTAAACATCCTCTTAACATCCTCTTAAATCTTCAACTTCCTCTTAAACATCCTCTTAAATATACATCCTCTTAACAACATCCTTTTAAAGCTTCGAAACATACTCTTAAGCCTTCAATGAATTGAAACACCACAGAAACTTCCTCTTATCACGAATGAACATCCCTAAATAAACATCCTCTTAACAACATCCTCTTAAATACTCAACATCCTCTTAAACATCCTCATAAATCTTCACATCCTCTTACATCCGCTTAATTAACGAGAACCAGGATTTGAGTCAGTCGTGGCAGGTTTTAAAGCCTGAGAAAAGTCCGTCGGACGGTCCAGGTACAGCTACTAGTGCCGGTGTGCCGGTACCGGTACCCAGGCAGAATAATATGATAAACTGGTCCCATTTGCAATTTTGGATTCTCCGCAAGCCAGCCAGGCTCAACCATTAAGGTAATTAAGTCTTTTTGTGTTAAGAGACGGTGTGCGCACCGAGTAGAGGCTGGGGGCTCATAAACGTGTATCACCAATCCCACGAAAGAAGGTGATCCAAAGCAATAAAGTGACCCCTGAAGCAACAATCGAAGAAATAGTAGTGTACCCAAGCCAAAACAAGCTTAAAGGGTCACTTTATCTCTTTGGCTGACCTCCGAACACGGCTGGTCCAGTACATGCGGCAAAAGCAACAAAAGTCGACGTCGTTCGACGCTTCTAGCTAGATCTAGTAGTAGAGGGAAGCCGCAATCAGAGCGAGTTTGGAGGCCGGAGCAGCCGTGTTGCAACTACATAGTGTTTTCTAAGCAACGCCGCAGCTGTGGCGCTCAATCTCCTTCCTCTTGTTGACCTCGCGGAGCGGCGGAGTGGCTGCTACTACAACAACAACCATTCCTCGACGACTACACCGCCTTTGAAGCTTGCGCTTGTTGCTACACCGGTAGTGGTAATATAGACAAATTATAGAACCCTTACTTGTATTTAAGGAGCGTCGTTTCGTTGGGTATCAGTCTCCGGAGCATCGTCATGGTGGAGGGATTCGATTCGATCCGTCGCGATCCATCGATTGTTGTTGTTGCCGCTGCAGCCAACTTCGCGCCAATTCGAAAAGTGAAAAGACGCCAGCACGAGCCAAAAACGCGCGACCGCCTCCAGTTCTTCCGCGAACCGTCTCTTAAATACAATACTGAGTGACGAGTCGAGTGACGAGTCGAGGCTGCTTCCTACAAAAGGGTTAGAGATTACGACCCCCTCCAAGCAAAGATCCAACAGAGTTCGCGTCCAGCCGGCCTCTGCAGCAGCACTCTACGAAAGCGGGGGCACAAAGCCTTGACACACATCATCGACACATGGTCCACTCCATCGTATGAACCACATTGTAGCGACCCAATTCTCAAAGCATTGAGTACTTCGAAGGAACCAATAAGCCAAGCTAGGTCCTTTTGGAACACTCCAACTTGATACTCTTCAACAAGCACAGGTCTGATTCAGTGTGTGTTTTTGTTTCGTCCTTTTCGCTATCATGGATCGAACTGGCACTAACAATGAAGAAAAAGAAGAAAAAGAACAAAAAGAAGAACCACCCCAACAACCCCAGCACCCCAAGAAGTCACCGGCCGATGGTTTGATCTGTCCCATCAGCTTGGAGTTACCATGGGAACCTGTGATGGCGGAAGATGGCCGTGTCTATGAGAGTGTGTGGATTGAATCTCACATCACCAACAATCAGTGGGATCTCCGGTCCCCCGTCACGAACCAACCCATGGGCAACCGGCTCTTTCCGGCCATCCAGCATCGCAACGCCATTGAGAATCTGGTGAAATCGGGTGCCATTTTCGGAGCATTGGCTGCCAATTGGAATGAAAAGGTTCAAAAAAAGAAGGAAATGGACGATTTATTGAAGAAGGCAGAGGGCGGTGATGGCCATGCCATGTATATAGCAGGATTGCATTACGATCAAGGAGCGAACGGTTTTAAGCCAAATCTCCAATGGGCATTCCACTGGTTCAAGAGATCCCATGATTCAAGATATACCAAAGGGACAGCATTGTTGGGTTGGTACTTTCTGAATGGGTTTGGTGTGACCCCTCACCCATCCCTCGGCTTTATCCACTTGACCAATGCTGCAAATCAGGGGTCCAACAATGCAGCGTATCAATTGGGAATGTCTTTTGCCACTGGAAGTTTTGGCTTGACTGTAGATTATGCAGAGGCTGTCTACTGGTTTGAGAGATCTATTTGGGAGTGTCCTCATGACCACTTGTCAGATGCCTGCAAGAACCACGCCCAGCAAATGCTGAATTCCATCAAGAACCCAGGGCCTCCAGCAGCAGGAGCAAACGGGACGTTCCCAGTTCAGAATATGATTGCGTTTGCACCTGGGCCACAAAACTATTACGGCAATTCCTATTTGGGGGCGAGGTAAATAATGTTTTGGTAGAATTTCCAGCTTCTATTTCTAGTAGCTAGCAACCTGTGTTGGGTAATTGCCGAACTCTAAATCGTTCTTGCTTAGTTCGTGGTGCTTGTCGCTCCAATGGATATGGCGCCATGGCGTGGGCTGCGATGTTACACCATATATACCGGTACTTATTGCATACCAGAGCAGTGCGAAGCTTCGAGGCGACAACTCGAATTATTGGGTTCGTAGCATGTAATTGTTGTGTCTGCCAATGGGAATAGATAGCGCTACGCATAGCTAGTTTGCGCCCGGCTGAAGTTGAATACGCCGAATAAATAGGATTTTGTGTCACACTAATAGCGAGAAACCGCTCATCGTAAGAAGAAGTCCGTAACCCCAATTAATGCGCCATTGAAATTTCTCCCGTTGCATCGCAATCTAGCTAGCTAGGCATGGATTTACTAGTAGGCGACGTCCCCAGGACCGACATCCTATACGGTGTCTGGCTCGACGAGGAAAGGTTTATAGCGGCCAGCCAAAAACCTGCACTCTCCAAAGAGATACACCCCATCCCATGGCTGATTTTCGTATGGTCAATCTCAAATATTGCAATTTGGGATATTGTAGATTGCTATTGGTGGAATTGCGTTGGGCCAGTGTATGCATGATATGGAGTGGAGTTTTGGATTTAACTCCTGGACTTTGTCCCGATGTTCCTTCGGACGCCAAGACAAAGGCATTTGTTGGCTGTGCTGCTGCTGTATCGTGCAGAGTGTACCATACGAGATTGCTCATGGCCGCTTCGATCAAGTAGTCTTTGGAATAGGCGGCTTCCCAATCGAGTACAATGGACGTGACTTGTACTGGAAAATGAAACGACAGCATCACTTGATGATGGCCTTGAATGGCAGTCCCATGCATGTCACTAGCGGCCTGCCATCGATCTTTCAACCAGTCGGTACCACCACGCAGCATCACTTCCGGGGGTCCCAAATTCCCACGGACATCTGTCGTAATCTTGGTAGTGTTCAAAGTGGACAACAGCATCGGTGGTGGTTTGGGAATGGCTGGAATCGGAGTCAAGGAGGACACGTAGAACATTAATGCAAACGACGTGGCCGCCAAACCGATCCCTCGACACAACACCCATTTCTTTCGCTTGCCTTTGGTGATGGAGGACACCTTATTAGTACTGCCGATGCGCACCATGGTCTAATGTATACTTTACAGGAACAGCAACAAATTTTGGAGTTGTGTGGGAAGTGGGAAGGACGAGGTGCTCTTTTGGGAAAGGTCTGGATCTTTTTGCAAGTCGCTCTGTTGACTTAATCTTTTTGGGCTCCACGCCCCCCATTCCAGCCATCGTGGTCACTTCTTTCCACGCTTCGTTTTCACTCACTTCGGACGCTGCGTGCCCAGGATCCGACAATGTGGGAATCGCGAACAGCTGAACCCAAGAGCGTCAAAAAGTTGTCGAAGGTACAATGATCAATCCAAATCGAGCTTACAACCTGCTTTCTCTGTGCGCTCTACTTCATTTTGTGTACTGAGATTCTGTACTGTAGACATTTAGCTAGCTAGGTAGAACGGAACAAGTACTAGTTGTTGTGCTTTGCTTGTTTTGCGAAAACCGGACCGACAACTACCTCCTCCATGGTGCCCAGAGCCGCAGCCGCAGCCACACCCAGCCCCCCAAGAAACTCGTAGTGACACAGGGCCACGAAATCAGTGCAGCATTATCCATGAAGTAAGCGGGAACTATCATTGGAACTATCCACGGATGGATATTGAGCAGTTGTATGTCTTATCGTTTATAATATAGTAACGTCAACGTAATAGCTAAGAACGAAGCTGACAGGAAGCATCGTACTGTTCTGTACACCTCCAACCAGAAGCCGATTTTTAAAAAGCCCCATGAGCATTGGCAACCTCCAAATCATTCATGGCAATAACATCAAAGATACACATGTCCTTCAGATCAGCATCATTGTGGTGTGAGCATGCCTCCTCGGCAGCTTCCATGGGAATTGCCTCCCCAAGGCGGCGACGACCCTGGGCAGTCGGAGGAACACAGGCTTCACCAACATAATTAGATGGAGTTTGGAACAGCTGAGGTTCACTGGGCAACACCTGCCATTCCTGCCCAAATGCATCCATGTCATCAAAGACAGAAGTGCCATCACGGCCAACCATGGATCCAGTCACAAAGCTGCCCAACAAACCAGCAGAGGAACCAAAGTTGGCCACAGTGGCATTCTCCACATTCACAGACACCATGTCTTTGAAACTCTTGACCACGATGGCTTCCTGGTTCTTCTTATCCAGTGTAATCTTGAAGAAATGAGTCTTGGCATCCTTCATTTTGTAGAATCCGGGAAAGCCAAGGGAGCTAATACTTGCTGGCATCTCATCTGCCAATACCTCCACCCCATTGAAAAAGTGCTCTCCCCAAGAGCCAAACTCCAAAACATCATCTCCAATCTTGATAGATGCAGACTCAATGTAGGCATACTGATACCGTCCCTTGGTACGGATATGAATGGTCAGGCCCAAGCCATTTGCAAAGCTGTCATCTTGGATCAGGACCAAATCACAAATGCCATGGAAATCAAACCAGGTCCCATTCCATGTCTATTATATACATCGTAAAAAGGAATGGTAAGAGCGGGGTAACTCAGCCACTAAGCAATAGATAGTCAAAGAATCCACAACTTACCTTGAAGTGGGGATCTCCATTTCCACCCGCAGATACATCTGTGGGTGCGCTGGTGGTTGTTGATGGATTCTTTTGGCCAAAGGTATCTGTCCCTGCAGTGGGGTCCGTGTCAAATTCGGAAGGATCATGGCTGGCTCCGTTAATGTCGTATACCACTCCACGGTCTGGATCGTTGATGGCATACCAATCATTGGTGTTCCCATCCCGAAAGACTAGTCTGGGTTCGTCACCAGTGTATGCAAAATGGTTTCCACCGCTGAAACCAGAAATGTGATTGGATGGAATACAGTTGGATACATCTCCTGCAGAATCAGGAACTCCAATGGCATCCAAAGCGGGCAACGAAAATGAACTGGCAGGACTTCCAGTGGACAGGCTAGTGGATGCCACCAGGCTAGCACAGCTTGCATCTAGCAGAACAGCAATATGGGATGGATTTTCCAAGTCTGGGATAGTGTCTACCAAGAGCCCATTGGAATCAAACGTGCCACTAACTTCGGCAATACGATCCACATTGCCAGCGAAAGTTAGAAGATCGCATTCAATGGAGATGAAACATCCAGTAAAGGATTGCCCGGGAGTTCCCTTCAGCTCAACTTGCACATTAGAAGGATCACCCCCTGGAGGATTGGGCTGATACTCATTAATCAGCTGGCCATGGACTGTACAAGTAGTACTGATCAGCAGAACAAAGGAGAGAGCTTTGGTGGCGGAGAAGTGCATCATTGTTGCTTTCGGAGCTTTGGAAGGACGAGAAATGAGAAATGGAGGTTTTACCAAGGACAGAGCGGCAAAGCAGTCTGTGTTCTCCCTTGGGTCACCTTTCACCTCGACACCTTCCACGCTTTGCTCCCGAGCATCCGACTCCTGCACGACCACACTGTTGAAATCTATCGGCAAACGCATACCGAGCTAGCTGGCTCATCTCGTGGTAAAGCCCCTTCTTGACGACGTTAAATAGTTGATTAACCAGTCAGTGTTTGGACAGGGAAACATTTAAACCTTGTGCGTCGAATGTGAGACGTCTGAGACTACCATTATATCTAAATTTCACTCTCTAGCTAGCTAGTAGGAATACCCTAAGTATTAAATAGATGGTCCCACGTCCCAGCAGTACCAAGGTCCCAGCGTTCCCAGCTGCTTCATTCGCATTTGCGACTGGAATGAGCAGACGGACCTTTCGTTGTTTGTTACGGACATGCGGAAAATGCGACCCAAAGGAGAATTCGCTCTTTCGCTCACCAAGCGAGCAGCCACCGCTATCTAGCCAGCAACATCCACGCTGAGCTCGCACGCCTTTGGGCCCTCCATCCATCCTCATACTAGTACCCCTCCGAGACAAACGAGACTACTACTACGCGATCGCATGATGTTGCCGAAGAGAGCAAGTCCAGGCGCCTGTCGAGTCTTGAGGGTGCATTGTCACTCGAGCTCTGGATCATACGGTACATGTTGTACCGTACCTGTTGCAGCAATTCGAGCCAGAATCCATAGAAACTACAATATGCACATGACACGAACAGAACTTGACAGGTCTGATATCGGTGATATTGGTAAGGCTAAAACTGTGATAGTTGTGGCAACTTCCATGGTTCTTGTCGGACACGGCGAAAGTATCAAAGTATCTGGTCGGAGACCGTAGTGCGTGACCACTTTCTCTACCGTACCTGGTACCGGTACCTTGCACAAACGTTCACGGTTCCAGTGAAGATTTTGCCAAGCAGGAACGACCTTGGCGCAAGAATCATTCGCACCTGTTGTTGATCCCCCCATTTCCATTCATCGCCACTCTCCTGGCACGGTCACATCCATTGTTTTCTTGGTCTGGGTCTTGCCGTCAATTTCTGCCGGGAGTTCTTGAGATACCGATAGGTGAAATAGCTTTTCTACCTATAGGACAGTACCTCGCCATGGTCAATTGCTTAGCATAACCCTACCAGATGAAAAAGTGGCAATTTAAACTAAACGTTAAGTTTAAAACATGTACGTGCTTGTACTCGCGACTGGAGGTCCTGTCATTCATTTTTTCTGGCTACGACAGTATTCATTGAAACTAGAAAGGAGCCCCATGGGCATTTGCAACCTCCAAATCATTCATGGCTATAATGTCAAAGATACACATGTCTTTCAGATCAGCATCATTGTGGTAAGCACACACCGTCTCTGCTGCATCAATAGAAATGGTCTTGACAAGGCGGCGGCTACCCTGGGCAGTTGGAGGAACACAGGCTTCACCAACATGAAAAGATGGAGTTTGGAATAGCTGAGGTTCACTGGGCAACACCTGCCCTTCCTGCCCAAATGCATCCATGTCATCAAAGACAGAAGTTCCATCACGGCCAACCAAGGATCCAGTCACAAAGCTGTCCAACAAACCAGCGAGGAACCAAAGTTGGCTACCGTGGCATTCTCTACATTCACAGACACCATGTCTTTGAAACTCTTGACCACGATGGATTCCTGGTTCTTCTCGTCAAGTGTAATATTGAAGAAATGAGTCTTGGCATCCTTCATTTTGTAGGAACCAGGGAAACTGAGGGAACTAATGCTTGCCGGCATCTCATCTGCCAATACCTCCACCCCATTGAAGAAGTGCTCTCCCCAAGAGCCAAACTCCAAAACATCATCTCCAATCTTGATAGATGCAGACTCAATGTAGGCGTACTGATACCGTCCCTTGGTACGGATATGAATGGTCAGGCCCAAGCCATTGGCAAAGCTGTCATCTTGGATCAGGACCAAATCACAAATGCCATGGAAATCAAACCAGGTCCTATTCCATGTCTATTATATACATCATAAAAAGGAATGGTAAGTTAAAAAGTCCTTGCTTGCAAATGTAGAGCAAAAGTGTTCGTGACAAGTAACATTTGCACGTATAAATCTTTTGACTGGCTTCCGTAGCTAATTTCCCTACTCTTCCCTACTCTAAACCCCCGTTGAAACATAAATCTTTTGACTGAGGTCTGAGCATTCCATTTATTTTTGATTGATCATTCGATTGATTCGATTCTAGGACCCCCACAGTCCCGTGATTGCATCAATTTTCACTGGGTGACGATCATTCTAGGCGCGTCGCGCGTAGGCCTGGTACAAACTTCTGGATGTCAGAAAAACAACGGCTGCCGCCATTCCGACAACAAAAAAAAGACCGACCATGACAAAGCAACAGAATATGGCGAAGTTGGCTATGTAGAGTGTTAAAACTGATAAGGACCACCATGTATTTGTAACTCCGCACCATGGTCGCGGTCATGCGCACCTGGTTTATTTTAGTGAATATGCAATAGGAAGAAGTGAAAATCCATTTTTGGCATGTTGTTGCGCAGCACATGTGTCACCCAAAAGCGGACTTTTGCCTGTTGAGACACATTGGAAGGCTCCTCGCCACAAAGTGTATGCCGGAGGGACCCTGGTGAGACATTGAGGGAAATGGCAACAGAGAGGACATGGCAGCCAGTTTGAAAATCAGAAATATTGACACAGTTTGCGCCGACCATGAGCAAAAACAAGTTTCGTGAGTGTTGGTGATGCGTTTGTTGCTGTTGCGACCAAGGATGCCTTCACTTACCCATATGCAAAGGGGATCCTGCTTAGACATTGTCGAAAATGGCACCAGAGAGGATCTTGAAGCCAATTTGAGCAGCAGACATGTTGCCTTTGAGTTCTTCCACTCTCTCCAATTCATGCTCTTTGACCTTCTTGGTGCGCTCCCTGACCTTCCACCCATCAATATCCTCTTCCTTGAAGCCAAGGAACAAGAGCTCCTCCTTGAGAGGGATCATGTGCTTGTCCTTCCCCATAGAGGAATATAAAGTAAGATCCATCACGTTTGCAGTTCGCACCACACCACCATCCTTTTGCTTCTTGTTTTCCTTCTTGTTCTTGTTGATCTTGGCCATGGCTTGTTCTTGCAGGACCTTCATGCGCTCATGCTTGAAGTGCTTGTTGCGCATGACGGAGGAGAGTTCAGTTTGACCGGCCGCGTAGACATCATGGCCCAGGTTTTTCTGCAATTCCGTAACACTCTCAGAATGTTTCTTGGCAGCACGAAGAAGTTCTTCTGTTTTCTTGGTGGCTCCAATCGTCTTCAAGTTGCCGATGGGAAGGTAGTTGGCGGCTCTGTTGATGGCATAGGCGCTTCTCAACTGTTCCGACCCGTCAGAAGTGGAGACATTCTTTGCCTCCTTGACTCCAACTTCAACAAACTGTGTGTGGCATGCAATCGGTAGATAGGTGTTATTCATGAAGAGACAATAGGCGTCAGGCTCTTGGTCATCGCGCAAGTCAATGTCATGGTCAGCGGACATCATCATCTCCGCGATAATCCCATCTGGGTTTCCAACCACTCTTTTCACAAAGTCGTAGAACTGTGATAGCTTGATGTGCCGCTCATGTACGTCTGAGTACATCCATGACATCCCTGACACAGTGAATTCCTCCTTCTTCAACATGACAGTTGCCACAACCTCTGCCAATGGCCGCTCTGCAAGTAGTCCGGCTGGAAGAAGAGATGGGTTGGACCATCGGACAAAGTGTTTGTGCATAGACCTTAATGCCAAGTCAACGAAACATTGTGCCTTGGTGCTCTGGTACTGGTGAAGGTGGCGAGCGCCGACAAGCGGCGCTCGCCTAGAGCAGCACAGCACGACTAGTTGAGTAGAGTAGTAGGATAGGGTGGTGGAGAGACTCGGCCATTTACTGAGCCGACCGTTTCCGCAACCCAGGGGTGCCGCTCGTGATTGCTAGAATCCCGAGCGGGAACCAAGGCACGAATGAGGCAGTCCCGCGGGATGTGAGTCCCGCGTGATTGTGCGACATTCGGCCAACCCAGGGAGGGAGAGGTGGGTTAATCTATTCTAGTTCTAGCTTGCACTCGGAGGCTGAAGGAAAATTGTGAGCAGGAAGGAGACAACCTTCTTGCGATCGACTGTTCAATGGCTGAGGAGAGAGTTGGACCGGTCTTGCGTGTTGTGTTCATTACAAGGTTGCTATCTGTGAGCGGTCTTCGTGGGGTGCTATTGCCTTAGAGTGGATCTTGCGAAAAGGCAGTGGCAATCGACATGTATGTGGGGTATCCATTCAGGAACGCAGGTGATGACCTGTGGAGGTGTAGAGATGTACTTGTTGTGTGTGAGCGAAGTGTGGGAGTAGATTCGTATTTTTGTGAGATGGTACAGTCTGGCAACTGTGAGTCGAGTCATTCGTCGAAGAACCAATGAGGGTTCAGGTTTCCGCGTCAGCGGATAGATAGGGATCGGATCGTTGTCCTCTTTTGCGTGCGGCTGCTCGACAACGGCGCCGACAAGCGGCGCTCGCCTAGAGCAGCACAGCACTGACTAGTTGAGTAGAGTAGTAGGATAGGATGGTGGAGAGACTCGGCCATTTACCGAGCCGACCGTCTCCGCTACCCAGGGGTGCCGTTCGTGATTGCTAGAATCCGAGCGGGAACCAAGGCACGAATGAGGCAGTCCCGCGGATGTGAGTCCCGCGTGATTGTGCGACTTCGCCAACCCAAATAGCCAAGGCAGAACAGGGTGGGAGCGTAGCGGGGTGGGAAAAGGTTGGAGAGACCGAGAGGAAGCAAGGTCTCTCTGGGAAATTGGACTAAGGGAGGTTATTCCTCGTAGAGTTCCGCGTGAAGGAGGATCTCTGCGATAGTAGCAGGCGCCTGAGCAGGCGGGAGGAACTTGTCGTAGGATCCCGCCTGGAAGGTGTACGGC